TTTAGATATTTTGGTTCAGTGACCATGCACAAAAGAATTGCAGACGAGGCTCCGGGGAAATAAAGAATAAAACGATATTATACGCTCTTTGATTGGTCATTTTGAAGCGTGCACTTCAAAATAACTCTTTGCAATATTAAAAAAAATAAAATTATCAATGGATAATCTTGATTTATTCTTTATTTCCCCGGAGCCTCGTCTGCAATTCTTTTGTGCATGGTCACTGAACCAAAATATCTAAAGTCGGCTATTGACACTCTCGTTCCCAGGCCTTTCCCCTTTGACCGCGTTTGCTTGATAGACTACAGCAAATTCATCGACACTTTGGCGTAGATTGTTGGTTGCCCTTTGCAAGGAGTAGCTCTAAATGACTTAGGGATCGGCTATCTCCTCCCTGACCGGCATCGTGTTAGCTTGTATGGGTTACTCGTGAACGAGCGTTATAATTTATAATTTATTTATTTTGATTTTCCCGCGAGTGGTCTATCACAAATTAGACCATTAGTAGAGTAGCCAATCACAGCGCAGTATGAGTGATAGACCATTAGTATCTTTATACTAACACTTATTGTACTTTGAATTACTGTTTTAGATTATCTTTTTACCGTAATCACGTCGTGTCGAGTCCGTGTCCATATTTGAGTAACGGCGTTGAACATACGATAACGGGTTCGATTCTCGACTTTAGCATATTCTAAACATTTCTTTTTTTCTTTCTTTTTTTTAACTTTAAAATATACTTGTTCTTTTTTTTTGTTTGTTTCTAAAATGCAGGATAATGCGAATACAATCTAAGGGACCTAGGACCCAGGATCTCAGTTCCAAGGTTCAATCCTCGACTCGAGCACGCCTGAAAAATTCTTTATTTCTTTTTCTTTTTTTTAACCGAAAGTTTAAAGTTTATTGTTTTATTTTATCACCATTAAGCCAGAATGCTAAATTTGTGATACGGTAGTCCACCACAGTTTGGTGGGTTCTATTATGAAAGAATTCAACTTGAAAGCTTTAAAAAGATAGCGTACTGCAGAGTTTGTAATACATTTATAGTGCTTTTTAATTAAAAAAGTGTTTTTAATTTGTTTAATTGACAAGTGTAGATTCCCAGAGATTCTGAGAATTCGAAGAACAATCAAATGCACAAGTCATAATTTCAACTTAAAATGTTTATTTCTATGAATATTTTGTAGAATATATATGAGAATATTTTATAATTAATGGCTAAACATGACAAAACAGCAAAACCAGTTGCTTGAGTAAGATTCATTCCAAAGGCTTGGTTAAAAATCAGTTTTTTTGCGGCCGATTTGAGAGCCTACATTTCTTTCATGGGCAAGAATGTTAAAAAAGAATAAAAAATATAGTAACTTTCCTTGTATTTCCCTTAAAGTTAAGACGACTTTTGAAGATCCATTCTTAGCCATTTAAATACTCTTCCGTAGGTCTTCACAATAAGACAGCCACCTCAAAAAGGCCACAAATTGCACTCCATACAGAGAAGTGACGTTTTAGTAAAAATCTACCAACCTATGCCAGATTTTACAACACAACATATTTTCTTTAACCTTTACAATTTGTTTATACAGAATTTCATTCAAAATAATCGTAAAATTTAGGATTCTTATTTCTCTATGACTAGTTTCTCTTCTGTTATTCACATGGAGGGCATCATGCCTTTAATAGGACGACAGATAGATCGCCTATGTTAAATCGTAACAATTAAGTCACAATGTTTCATGGGGAGGCAGACAAAGTTGTCTTCCCCTAATACCTTGCGAAAAGACCCTTGAGCGAGGGTCGGCCAAGATAAAACACAACCTTCAAGTCAAAAGAATTCAAATAAATGTACTACTTACGTCGGCCGATACCTTCCTAAAGATCACTAACTAAATAAAACCTAAAGATTGTTGACCCAATCTCGTACCCAAAGCCCGCRTAACTTTTGGTCTGCGACAAATAACTTTTTTCGTCAAGCTTGCGCAGTAAGAGGGACAGAGGCGCTGGGTACGAGATAGTTGTTCTAATTGAATCTCACGAGTCGTTGACAAGGGAGAATCTACGTAGCACTCAGTTGATGTAATATATTCATAAAGATATAATACAAAACACATAATACAATAGCACGAGAAACAATGGAATACAATACATTTTATGAATACAATTACATCAACTGCGTGCTACGTAGGTAACCCCTCGTTGACAAACACCAATGCGAAAAAACATTGATAACATGGGTGTCGGATAAGGAGATATTTTCATATCATGACGTCGTTCATCACTTATCGTTATTGCTTCGTTTATATCTTTATTAGTAATCATTACTTATTAATTCATATTTTATYTAATTAAATATATATTACTACTACTACCATAGCAGTATCATAATAAAATCAACCCTATATAGATCACTTAATTGCGTAGGGGTGACAAAAGATAGTATCCTAGTTCAAAATGGAGGCAAACYCTACCCCTAGTAAGTCTAACTTTACCGATATTCTCATGTTATCAATGCTTCGTGACTTCAACATACACGTTTCTTCGATGACATATGTACAGGATATTATATGGGGCCTTAACATCGCGTTAGAATGCACTTCTATCTGGTGCRGGACAAAACAGTCTACTAACTAACATAATCTATATGGCGAAAGCCTTTAAATGTCACCAGTCAACCAGATGAAGCTGAAAAAACTTCTGATGTAAGACMTTTATACCTTTGCAATGTACAAGACGAAATACAGCGTTTTGCAATAATACTGCTAAAATCAACAATAAGAATAAGACATTGTTGATATTTTCAGACTTTTTTTAAAACGTTGTCTAAATATTTGCGTTATACAACATAAATGCCTGCTTGAGTTCACCATGGTTTTKTGTAAGTCGCATCATTTTTGTAATTGTTTGATTTTGAAATGGTTGAAGTTCATTGGCACTAAAATAATGTGACTTTTCTGCCTTTACACGGCTCCACAGAGACGCGCGTGTGAATATAAAAAAACCATCTAATATTACGAATACTTAACGTATCTTTATAGTTATATGGCTTTGTTCTTGTTCCCTTGAAAGGAATATAAGCTTTTACTCTACAGAGAATGTCGTTACTAACTGTTTGGCTGCCTTAGCAATATCGTAAGCACACTGTATGACYTGTTGTGTCAGGAACGCCATGTCTACTGTATTTCCTGGAAGTACAGCACTCTTGCATTCTACTGATAGGCGCGATGCACTGTTTGCCATTAGTTGAAGGGAGACTCGAACAGCATCCGCATCAGGGTTCTGTGGGGACCGAAAGAAAAAAAAAATTAAAGCATGTTCATAAGTTGYACTATTTTTATTTATTGGAAAATTCATTAGCTAATGGAAATGCACCATCTCCGTTTYCTGAAACTGGCCTCACTGATTTGTGTGGGACGACAAGATGATCTATACTAATTCTTTTAATCTCACCTCTGGGAATAARGTCGCCATGTCATTAACAGCCGAGTTGATTTTATTGGAGCACGGAATAAAGCTGTATAGAGAAAWATTATTTTAATTAAGTTAATGCATTTAAGTAGTCTGAAATGAAAAATGTAAATTATGATAGGATAATCTAATCGTGATTGGAATAAATAAAACATCAAAGGAACTGAAAATCCTTTAGGACTCTTAAAACCTAATCTACAAAACTGTACGTTTCACACCCTAGACCCTAGTACCGAGGTTCCCTTTCGTCTTTGAGTAATGTGACATGTGTTTCCCTAGGTGCCCAGAGGGAATCAAAGCACAGTTGAACTACACTCACGAGCTATGTCTTCCTGCTTGTGCGGCAAGCAATAATTCTTGGATTTTCTTCGTGATTTGTTCGGTACAACGTACGACATCTTCTTGTGAAGGTTCAAATTCTCGAGCGGCGGCTTGTACGATCCCCTCTGCCTCGCTAAGAACGCGTTCCGCCTCCTCGTCGATTTGGTTGTCAGAAAGCCCTGCAATATATCACAAACAAGGTATAATGTGCAGTCACTACACGACATAAACTATTTGATTCAATACCATACAAATTGGATTCCATTTTGTTATTCTACTATTCCATGTTATTCTAGCGGTTCTTGTTTTAATTTACACAATGCAATTCAACTAGTGCGTTATTTCTCACCATTTTTATCATTGTGCACGAATGGTCTTTCGTCTTCGCTCTTCTCTGGTTCCTCATCAGGGACGTTATCATATGGGTTCACCTTTTTCCCCTTGGAATCGTTAGGAGAGTGGCTCGTTCCTACTGGTAGATTATGTCCCTGACCCTTTTTCTTCATTAGTTCCCCTGGGCATGCGTACGGGGTAATATCATTGATATCCACGTGRTCTTCATCATCGTCGTCATCTGCTGTGTTTGTGTTTGTCATTGTTCGTAGAATGTCTGCATTTATATATTCATGGCCAGTATCAAAGGAAAACACGTTATCTTCCAACGACTTATCGTCTAATCCTAACTGTTTTTGTAGGTTGTATTTGTCCCTTCGTAAACTCTGTACCTGTAATAAAAAAATCAGGTATTCAATCTTTTAGAAAGCTCGCACAACTTTACGGTCACGTTTTGTAATCGTCTACCTGCAAATACCTCTGTTTTCAGATTGTTTTCAAGTCTTCAAAAAACTAAACATTTGCGAGGCGTTTAAGAGTAAATTTATTCAGAGTTTTGGTAAGTGAGGGGTGTGTGGGATGGGAAAGGGTTTCTTCCATGTATGTGAAAGTTGATAGTAGATTATTTTTTCTTAATCATTCTGATTTCTTCGATATATTTAGTATTTTGGCCTCGCAAGACTTTGATATTAATTTCATCTTGATTTCCTCAAGTATGTTAAGGCTTGAGTTTTTCGGTGTTGACGCACGATCAGCTTGTATTGTCTGTAAAACTAGTTTCGTTTTATTGTAAAACCTCCTCAGTTACAAGACTTTTCTAATTTCTATTTAGGATATTGGGATTGATATTTAGGATATAAGGCGGGATAAGGATAGACCGAGCACGCCCAGTTTAATCTTAAATTAGACGAAAATACCCCTACGTCATATCTCAAGCGATAACGTCTGCAAAGGATTCACATGTCTTATTAGCTAACATGTTAACAATCTAATTTGCCAATGATAATTTTTAGTGCATAAGAAATAGTCCTCTTTCAGACTACTGATRGCGGCTGTGTCGGATTCAATATTAATCACCATGTCTGAATAAATGTTTTATGAGGAGTAGTTTCAAGAGGATTGTTACCATTACATAGTATCAACGTTATCCATAATGACCGGTTAAAAATACAGGGATACAAAATACCAGGATTGCTTTGGATGATGACACTTTACATGAAAAGCAATATTTTTTGGCTAAGTGCATATAATTAGGCTAATATTTTATCTTCGGGCCACTGAACGTCATATCATATATTTATATCTTTACTTCCACGTGCTGTTGCACCCACAGGACCACCCCAGTAATCTCATTACCCACCCAAGAAAAGAATGTATATACTCTGACCTCAAACTCAACAGGAGGTCAAACGGTAACAAATGTATAATAGCTTCCTTCCCTCCATATCAGCCCAAAACACATGAWCTTACCACTGCCTGAAGTTCTTGGATTCCTTGACTCATCGATGCATTCACTTGTAGTAACTGCTGTATACGTGCCTGATTTATACATAACAAAAGAATAACTGGTTACTTAAATTGTATAAAATAAGATCGAAAACGTYATATGAAAGTCTAACTAGTAAATAGGTACAATCCATACATGTACATTCATRTATTCGTTGAGCAAAGTACTGCTGCCGCGAGGGTGACTAGATATAATGAGGGTGAACAAAGATATGAGATGGAGTTGCTCATTGTTACCGTAACTACATTTACCGGAATAGCAAGTTTTATATAATTAATACATCTCCGGTTAGTGTTTGTCAAAATGCGAGTATTTCAGGCCAATTTTCTCGGAAGTCAATATTATAAAATTGCAATATTACACAAAAATAGCTGTTATTTCACAGTCTTGTGAAAATCAATAAGTGTTAACAAACTGTTAATTTGACGACTATGGTGTTTACATTTTAAGCTCATTAAGATTATCCACTAATGTGCTAATGTTTTAATACACAGTATACCAAATATTTTCCACAAACAAAAACAAGTTCAACAYCCAATTTAATCTTCTAACAAGACATAAAGTAGGATAAACTTGGGCCCAACTTAACASACTGGAATCTTGGTTGACATTTCATTAATCAAATATACTATATTATGTATCATCTAAAAAGTGAATTMTTCTGTTATACTGCAGTAGCGTTACAAATATAAAGTTACCTCTGCAGATGCTAAAACACGCTTTAATTCGAGGTAATTTTCCATTGGGATTGTGTCTTCTAAAACGAAGCTAGTAGATGTACTCTGAGAAAAAGTCATTCAGAAGTWAATGAGCAACATTGAAAGACAATAGGAATAAGGTGACATGACTAAAACATGATACCATACTCTCAATGGGTCAGTACCCCTATGACCCCATTCATGGCCACACCCTATTTTAGACAATGACAAGTGTGCTGGAGCAAACAAAAAACATATCAATATTTCAAAACTAAAATTAAGAACAAGAGTCAAATCGTAGGAGAAAATTCATATCAAAAATTTTGATTTTAAAACAGCTATGGCACTGGGTGTGGTTATTTAATATTGGTATCTAAAAAGTTACAGTTTATAATTGTACTATCTAATTTTCATCTTAGATTGTTCTGAACATTGACTTTTCATAGACAAAAAAAATGTGTCAGATGCTCTTCAAACAAGTAAGTAATCAATGGTTTATTCACCTTTTCTGTTGATCTTTTTTGTGCTCTCAATATTTGATCCTATAAGAAACAATAAATGTCAAGTCATTAGGACTGAGAGTTTGTCTAATGCTGTCAACTCATTTTTCCAGGTAACTTTACTACATKCACCATAACTTAAAARGCAGATTTTTGTAATAAACTTGCACTTAAATAAACAAGACATTGTGTTGACAGTTGTTTTTACAAGTGAGCTGAATAGAGTTTTTGACTTCAATAGCTTTTAATAACATTATAATAAATACGCAAATGAACTAATTACTAACATTTTGAGCTGCAGTTTCATCATCTGACGCTACTTCATCATAATCATGTGACATGTGGCGATCTTCCTCAATTGGAAACATGGTAGAATCTACGATTCCTGTGAATAACAAATTTTGCTTAAAAATCAGATTTTAATCATTAATTGTTTTGGAAATAATGCAAAGACAACAGCAAACAAACATATAACAGATTATTTCTGCAGCCTTCCAGCTCTTAATAAAAGTCACTATGATTGGCTGGCCAGAACAATAGGCTCCATTGTTCATGTTTCCTACTTAATTTTTAACTTTCAGTTGAGTAGAGCCAACCAATTACCAGAGATGTTCTTGGGGAGCTGCAATCACATCTGATTCTACAGAATGTACAAAAGAAAAAAAAAGAAAAAGAAAAATAATTTCAAAGTCTATGCATCAAACATTACCAGCATGAGCAAGATCTGGGTTGGAATCTTGTTCTCGCCTTCTTGCATCATTTAAAACATCCAGGATAAGAGTGGCTAATTCTTGAGCATTAAATAAAGCAAGTTTTTGCCTTCCCTGAAAAAAATATTTTTCAATGAGCAATGAAGCATAAGGTATAATTGAATACTAAAAGTCATTAACATTTGGTAAGCACATGAGAGAAACAAACACAAAAGCAATATAACAAAAAATATATAACAACAATGAATAAGAAAACAACAATTAGAAGAACAACAGGATTATGGTTCAGCTAGTATGACTTGTTTTACCAATTGTATAATAAGATAAATTTAACACTGTGAAAAGTAGGTAAAACAACTTACTGAAATTTAACCTCTGAAACGTCAGTAAGTTGTTTCATCTACTTTTCATGGTGTTAAATTTATCTTTTTAAACAACTGTTTCTTTAGAAACACTGACACAGCTCACTAGTTTACTGCTAGTTCCGACCATTTTGCTTTATYAATGACATACCTGATTCCTAGTGGAAGTAAAYGCTGGATTTACTGGTAGGAAGGGAACTGTTGTAGTGTCATTTACAAGTGCACTATGATTCTGATTYGCAAGCCAAACTAACAAAAAAAAAGAGTTTTTTAGAACAAAATGAAAATAGGAAATAATACCTGCATTTTTACAGGGTAAGTTAAACAAATCTTTATTTCTCATTGTCCTATTTCATCAAAATATAGTTAAATATAATAATCTTTTTTAAGTTCTGCGAATGCCGATAACAACCTGATAGAAGTACATGTAATAAAATGGTAAAAAATAATAAATCCAAAGATCAACTTACTGGCATCACATTCTCTCCTATCAACTTCATCGTAAACATCAGCAGCTAGCTCTTCAAATAAATGATTACTTAACTGTAAAAGTAAAAAGAAAAAATGTTTCATTACTATTTAAAAAAAATCTAAAATGTCTAAAACATCTTATGGCTAAGGACACTAAATTTGATCTTTATTTACATTTTTTATGCAAGTTTTATGCAGGCAAAACTTTTTTTTACTTACTGCTTTTAATTTAAGTTTTGCTTTCTGTGCATCCTGYGATAAATCTAAGCAGCTAAATAATCAATTGAAAAGTCATCAGTTAAGTCAAGTTTTAACTGTGAATAAATTCACGTTATTCATTACTAAACACATAATACAACATACATGTAGAACAGCAACTGCAATAAAAATACCTGTCAGCCATTGTGGGAATGAGGTATCTTATTCCTGCTGAATGGTCTACAACMACAACAACAATGTTCATTTGCACACATTTACAAATCAATATTATGTACTTAGAAAGAAGATGATTGATATTTGTGTTTAAGAATATTTTACAGAGAGAAGAAAACAATACAGTATATGAATTTAGATCCTGGTGGACCTGGGTAACTAAAGTTTTTTTGCCAGTCCACAAGTAGGTTAAGTAAGGTTAAGTTAACAAATATCAAAATAGTTCAGCATCTTTTGTGTCAATGTAGGTAATCAATAATAAGCAGTGACAGCTATCTATCAAGTGTTTCCATGGTTACCTTTGAGGATGCCCCTAGAACATTTTTTATTATTATTTATTACCTGGTTTTCTTCCACATAAGTAAAAAGCAAGTCGATCAGTCAGCACGTACTGCATCTCAAAGAGTCTTTGTGCTAAATCCCTATGACCTGCCTCTCTACAATAAAGTGATAAATAATATATTAAAAACAAATTTAATAATCTTTCCCCCTAACTTGGCATGGCAGGTTGATAAATGTTATCAAAATTCTTAGGGAAACTGCCATATTCAGACATTTGTGAATTTTTTTTAAAAAAGAATTTTGTTTATCTTCTTTACTCTCTACTTTGGTGTCATATATTAACATTAACAATGTTGATTTATTAGTCTTTACATAACCTTGGATGATTGAAGTCTTGATTTTAAATCATATATTTCACTCACGGTCAAGCCTCATCAGTGTAAATGCAAATCTTAATCAACATGATAAAATCTTTTCATGCTTCAAGTATCCAAGACAGATAAATCAAAATGGTTAAAACAGTATCTCTAAACTAGTATATGTACCTTGCTGGTGTAAGTGTACAAAATTAATATTTTGATTGTGATAAACAATTATAAAATAACTATACAAAAAAAATTGTTATAATACATACAAGGCATAATCCATGAGCGATTTTCCATTCATGTCTAAGACTGTAAAAAATTGTTATAATACATACAAGGCATAATCCATGAGCGATTTTCCATTCATGTCTAAGACTGTAGGGTCAGCTCCATGTACGACCAGCAACTCCACTTGCAGGGCTTGACCAGCACTTGTTGCTATGTGAAGTGGTGTGTTGCCTTTTTCCTAACACATCCAGGGAAACAAAATGCTTCAGAAGAGTGGCATGTCAGTTTTAAGACATTGAGTATTTAACAATATTTCGACAGCAGCATGTAGCGCAACATGAAAAAAAAACTTATTGCCACACTTAGAGCAATATAATTTTTTACCACACTTAAGTAAATTCTTGCGCACTGATTGGCTGATTAGAATGTGTCAATAAGAGGACATGCACACTGTGCTGACACCATCACGTCTCACACTCAATAATCCAGTTTTGAATTCTCCAATGTTCTGTGTTAGCCTCATTTGTGCACAAAATATTCCTAATAGCGAGAAATGAAGTGTGAGATTTCAAATCAATTTTATTGTTTTTTTTTTCCCACAAATTTCATGCGTTATCTTGGGCCATCAATAAAACAAAAGAATATGTTGCTTGGTTTTGAGGCTAACACAGAGCAAACCAGAACTCGAAATTGGAGTATTGAAAAAAAAGAATGTTGATTTTTTGCTAATATTTAGACTAAAAATTTTGTTTATCCAATTGAGTTTTGAACATTTTATGACRTCAAGAGTATGTCAATAAGAGGACATACAACTTAAAACGGTGCGCAAATTGTTATCTATCTTAGACAAGGAGAGGGGTAACCAATATTACCAGATAGCATTTATGAAAGCATTTTTGAGTGATTGCTTTAAAGTTTGTATATCTATGTCTATGTCACAGCCTTCCCTAAGTCATTGTCATTGCTATGTTGTAAGATTGAACTCGGAGACATAATATTGACAGGAAGGAGTACATGTATTTCAGCCATTCAATTTAGTTTATATTATATAAACTCACATAGAAGGAACAATTATTGACTAAGGTATCATAAACACATTAAAATTGAAGACGCTGAATTAAAAACTACATCAAATGATACTTACAGGGTGAATGTAGTTGGGCTGCGCTCCATTGGACAGCAATCTGAGGCTTGTTTCCAAGTTAGATGTCCTCACACATGAATGAAGTTGCTGTCAAATAATAAGACTTTCAGTATCTTGTCTAGAAAATGCAAACAACTTTTAGATTTCAAATAAAAATGAGATCAAAAAATTATCAAAAGTATTGAAAACATAACAGTTATCAAATGAATAAATAAAATCATAATTAGTTTTTTATTACTAAAACTGTTGAAAACTCAAGTGATATTATGCCACAATATTTTTCCAAATTTCAGCAAACATCTTCCGAAACCCATCCATCAAAACCATGACAAAAATTTTGACTTCATTTATGGAGATTGATCATGGTTTTGAGAGAAGAGTCWTGAAAGTAAGGTTTGCAGTTTTTACAAATTTCACCAAACAGCTTCCCAAACCCATCCATCAGATTTGAGCATTTTGAGTTTGCAGATACATACATACATACATATCTGCAATAATTTCTTTCCCCATTTCGTTATTATTTCATTTGTACTCACTAGGGTATAATCCACTGTTGTGGCATCATCGTCTTTGCTTGGGAGYCGATGGACAAATTGTAGAGATTGGTATTTTGCTTTGATGAAGTTGGATTTTGTAGGGCTAGATTTACAAAAAAGAAGAAATATTGATGAGGTTAATTTGCACTATTTAGTGTTGACCTTAGACACATGTTCCTTACTGGACATTATCTTTAGGGTTTGGTTTCCTWATTCCGCCTCTGTTTTGTCCATGGTCCAGGGAAGGAGGTGCATAGTTATGTTCCCATATGGCATTAGCTCCATTATTGACCAACTGTATCACCATCTATCCAAAAAACATTAGACAAGTGAACTCATATATTTGTCATAGCCAATTAAAAAGCTATCCAAACAAAGTCAGGCTTACATTGTAACAAAAAAAGTCCAAAAAAGTTGAATGAAGTAAAGAATATACATGTACGATTTATAAGTGACACAGGGCAGTCTAAACKTTCAATTAAAATTGGTAGCCAATATGACAGTCCAGCAACTGATACATGAAGAGTTACGATTTTGGAGGTCAAGTAGTACGATTTGTGCTTACTTGTCAAAATGACAATGCCTTCGCCCCTGCTGCTCAGCAGTTATTCAGAATTCACAGATAAAATTTAAATTCATTGTATCTTTATTATATGAAATTGTGGTGTATTTTACGTCAACTGAGTGCCTTTGTATAATTATAATACATAATTTGCATTGCCCACAAGGTTCACTACACAATGTTGAACAATGATAAAAATAAAGGAAACTGACAGATGTATTCAACCCTGTTGTATCCAACCAGGTGAAAACCTTTCAATTACATGTAACATCTGATGTTTTGAATTACATTGTAGAAACATTGATCCACTGTAAAAAACATTGCAATTTTAATCACTCTACACAACTCAAAGTTCYCATATATATACATTCTGTAATAGGTTTGGTTTTCTAAAATGTTTTAACAATGATTTGAATCTGACAATAACTACTTTTTCCATCAAATTCATGCGAGTGTAAATTAAATTCAAACTAAAAGGAATGTTTTTTTTTAAAAAACCACTTGAATCATGATAGCAAAGCATACATCGAATATTATGGTAAGTTACTGTTTTCACTTGCTAAATTATCTTTTTAGTAATTTAATGGAATTCACTTTTCAAAGATTTACAATACAATACAAAGCGATTCACTGGTGTGTGGAATATCTAATTAGAGTTTGCGTGACAAAAACAACTCTTTTTCTCGCCTATAATTTGATATTTACCCAGAATACTCGGTTGGGCATTGTTAAATCTAAGTTTCCTTTCAACTAAGTCAACATTGAGCACTCAATTAAGCTTGACGTCTAAATGTCGAGAGTTCGCTACTTTCGATTCACAAAATACCGCGARTCCAGAAAAACATCTCRTGTTTACATTTAAATTTACACAAGAAATCCATGTAWAGCAGGTTGTAGATTGCCTGTCAGACTTTTAATCGGAAATAAAAACAAACACGGCGATTTGGTATATGTATTCTGACTTTCTGGATGTTCATTGTATTCTTTCAGTACAAAAACAATAGGGAAGTTCATATATATGGTTCGATGCATGCAACGTGTAGTGGCTCTAGCTTGGGTTGTGGCGCATTCCAAGCTTCAGTTTCTGGATGATTGTAACGAATTTACCAGATTCCGTACAGAAACRTCCAGAAATACTATGAGCTCCGCAGTGACTACAACCCCTGACCTCACAGTGAAGTCTTAGAACTATTTTTGTGGAATATCTTAAGTAAGATTTAATTCAACCTTTGAATTTGTATCGACTTAATGAAGGCCAATCGAGAAACATCCCTAATTACAAAATACTTCCTTAAAAATAAATGATATTTGAGGGTTSTAGCTTAATTAAAGTGGTGTGTATTAGGATACAGCAGAGAATTTACGASGAAATCATACCGTCAAAAGGTTGGGATGCCATACAGAGTGCCGTAAATGTTTGACTTGGGAAACATGACGTCCAAGGCTTCTGTGAACGCTACAGCACTCGTCGCAGATCAACACACACCGATTTAACGACGCCCATTCTGGACCTGGACAACAAGCAACAATAGATCATTCTGATGCTATCTAAGATATTCTTACAACTCGAAGTAAAAAGCAAAAAATAAGTAAGTTGGACCCGTAGTTTTGGTTGSCTTTGAAAGACAGTGTTACTTCTCGTACCTGGGGCACTGCAATCGGCACAAATATCAGTCGATGCTCGCAACTTCACCCTCGACGACATAGCTTCTCACATCGACAACCAAGATCTGGGCCTTAATTTTCGATTTAGTTTGTTAATTTGACATTATGAAGGTGCTGTCCATTGCAAAATATTTGGTTGGATTCATTTTGCGCCAGCTGTCTCTCGAAGACATGGTCAGCACGGGTGCAGTATGTCATGCGCAATAAGCCTTYCAACCATCATACTTAGCGAGCTAGCCGGAAGTGGATTTTGTGGTTGGAAAACCAGAGACACCATTGAACAGCAAGAATGATTCACTTATAAAGTAAATTGRACATAATTAACTGTTTTATAAAAATCAAAAACTACTRCACAATTGCAGSCTCTCGATCCTTTTTCAAAGATAAGAGATATTTTTCGAAGCCACGTGAGAGAGAAAATTCCACTAAGGGGCGCGAACGTATGACGTCATAGTCACGACATTTCTTCCGCCTGYTAAAAAAAGTGTRTATGGCATCCTGTCTCTTCATATACATATTTGTCAGAGTCAAGCTGCCCGGGAAGTGCTTTTGGAAGTGCCGCGGCATAAAATTAAAATACCTCCCGCCATGTTGGAAAGTGCCCAATATAACTTGAGGGCTTTTACGGAGAATATGCTAAAAAATCAGTCAAAGCTGAACGGAAAGCCGCGAATGGGGTCACAGTCGGCAGTTTGATGCTTTTATGAATTCAGAGATTTCATCGATGAAAGATGCGAATAATGACTGCTTTCCCCTATTCTCATTAACAAAAAAAATGTATTTGGTACTGACTCGACCCAAGTTGCCGTGCGCGTCGACGAAAAAGTGAAATGGGAAGTGAAATGGGAAGGGTGAAGGAACAGCAATACTTTCCTAATAAAATAAGAAGTGATTCATATACACCTATGACAATATATGTACACCTCTTTGGTTCTATATATTTTTAATCGTTGCATATAATCATTGCTTGTATGAAATAGGTAACACCAATGGTGAACTAACTTACATTGATGATATTATTAATTTTTTTTTAGATTCTCTGTAAAAGTTAGCTTGTTTTTTCTTCAGGAATTTTCTTTGATATTTAATTATGAAAAAAAATCGTGGATACAACGCAGGCTGCCGATCATATATGTATATATGAATAAAGAGTAGAAATACTAGTTGCAAGTTGTGTGCCTTTTTCTTCAATTTATTCAATTTATATATATGTATATCTATACAATGGGGAACAATCACGTGATAAATAATCGTTAACATATAGAATGTTGCCTACAACCTCTTTAAATTGACTATATGAGGTAAATATATGAGACATACAAATGATAATCGCCTTCAAAACAAGGCATGATATGGTAAGTAAATATACAGCTATTAAAAAAGAATGTCAGATAAAATGGAGAATGCAAATTGTTGTCGACTGAGATTGCACGAATGGATGTAATGATTTTCTTGTTGTCGGTAAGAAAATGTAATCATTGTTCCTTTCGATCTATTTGGAAAATTTTAATTTCTTTACGATAGTTTTTTTTTAAAGTTGTTAGTTTTTTTAAAAAGCTGTATTTCGGTCGGTTCAATATAAATGCATATACACCTATTTCAAGAAGCATTTTCGGGAAAAATATCGAACAGTGATTGTTGAGCGGCGATTGCATGACCATGAGTTAACTAACGTACTGCATGGGTTTACCTTGCTCATTGAAAATGTAGACTAAAAATGGAGCCGAAAACTATCACAAACTATCTTACAGTATAAATCAGTTATTGAATTCCCATCTATTAGCAAAACGCATGATTCCTTTCGGTTCCGCAATTTCCGTTTGACTACTGTATTCTCCAGTTTTTCCGACAACCTTTCTTGAAATAGGTACTAATGTCCAACTGAGCGATTGCCAAATCAACCAATCAGCKTTGAGATTTTGTCCTTATTTTGAATATTGGCCGGGCGTCTTGTTTATGTAAATTTGTATTGTTTTGAAGCAGGTAACTGCTGATTGAAAACAAATGTAATATTATTAAACAAAATACATAAAATGAACGTTCAATTATATCTATTCTTAAGAAAAATGCTGACATGGAAAATGGAAACAGAGTTGGATGCTGTTTTAAAAGTACTTATTGAATATTTTGAACGCCGTCACGTTTCCAGCTAAACGTTCYCTTAMATTGAAGAGTTTTCAAATGTTTTTATGCTTTCCAATTAATTGTTTTCAAGTTAAAGTTTCCCATACAAATATGAGTGATTCAATAGAACGACCAGTAAGCCACTCTTAGACTAGACGTAAGCTTAAAATGACTTGAGTTAGGGCAGGTGGTAATGACGCGCCGCTATGTCACTTTTTTCTCATTTCTTTATAAATAAAATGTGCTTGGATGTAAACTTGTGTAGAAAAGCAAATTCCCATATACAATCCATGTTTTACAATTCAGATAAATGCAGATATATTTAGTAAACAAAGTTAAATCATTTTATCTTGGAGTAGTTGGAGGTGTGTCCAGAGGCAAACAATAACAGCCTGTCAGTCTTGTGCATCGATGCAGAAGCTGTTCCAAAATCCATTACTACWGTAGCTGTATGGCCAAGAAAGGCAAAGATCGTGTTTTTGTACATGCACTTAAATGTTGTTTAACTTCAATTCAACAAAAAGTCGTTCATCTGATGAGCATTCTCCTGAGGCTGACCAGCTCGAAAGCACTTTCCGATGTAATATGCTTGAAAAAACGCCAAAACTCCAACAAGACCAATCACAAAGGCTACAAAAATTATAGTTGCTGCTCCCACAGTCATCCTGTGATACAGTAACTTGGATCACTCGATGGATATAAACAGCTCAGAGTCTAATCGTCTCCCAGTGTGCGTTTATTATATGGTTATAAAACGAACACATCTAGCTGCAGTCAATAACAACCTAATCATTGTAACAGCCAGCGATGTTTGCGTATGTTTCACTCAGTCACGTGACTACATGCTAGCGTCGAAGGGCATCATGGTATTGCATCATTCTAGCAGCCGGCAATTAATTGGAAAGTTCAATCGTTCAAATTAATTATTCCGCTAAGATACGTTTAGTTTCTTCTTAGTTAATAACTATAGTTTCTTCTCTAGTTTATTTCAGTGTTCTGTATTCCAGTGTTTCATCTTAATTTCCATGAATTCAGTCTTTCTTCATTCATTTGTTTTATTAAATAACCTGCTGAGACCTGCAGAATTGTCAAGTGTTTATAAAAAAACATGGTCGCTATGACAACTGAATTTTTTACTCTACATTCATTATGGTATACTCGAGTAGTATGCTAACGAGTAACACTGTGACCTAGCTATGCCTTCTTAATGATTCATTCCTGCTTTACAATCTGTAAAAATCATTTTATACCTTAAGAATGTTCCGTACGGGAACTGAGAGGAAAAAAGTGAAAAAAACAAAAAACAAAAACAAAACAAAACAAAACAAAAAACAATTTACATCCAGAATTGAAAACCATGACCTCATTAGCCAAACACTACTTTACAGTCCTCTGAGACAATATGTCGTATATTATCCTATAATTCTTATTTTTACTCATCAGACATTGAAAAGATAGAGAGAAGTATAAGAAGAAAAGAAGGGAAAACTAAGTTAAAGTGGTTACAAATCCGGGAAACGAAGAATAAACAAATGAATCGCTTTCCTCGATTTTTCCCATAATACCTCGGTGAACTAGTGACGCCAGTAAACGAAACTAAGGAGATAGCAAACAGATACTATCTTTAGTACATGACTTCATGCGCATTCGAGGTGGGACACCAAATGTGCTTTGTACAGTGATTTACGCATGATCAGATTGTCGTTTTGCGACCATTTTTCCAAGAATATTAACGTCTCGAATCTTTATACCTGATAAAGCCCTCTCTCTCTCTCTCTCTCTCTCTCTCTCTCTCTCTCTCTCGTGTTTTAAACTATACTTAGTGTTATTATACAGTTTTTACACATGTCAGTTTAAGCCAGGTAGCTGATATTTATTCATCATTGTCCATGCCTATGATTTACACGAGCCATGGACACTGATGAAAAATAAAGAAATATGAACGAATTAAAATAACATGTTAGAATTATGGCATGATGGCATGAGAGCCCATGGAYTAAAATACCATGAACCCGGGAACACGTGACAGTTAAAACAGGCTGCGTGAGCCTGGCTATAACATCGCGCTCTTCTTGATGATCCATATCCCTCAAAATATATTGTCTGAAATAACTCCATATATCAGAGAGACTTCCAGACTGGAAACGTAATATGCAATATGCTCTTCTTGGCACAAAATTACTGATAACTAGTACAGACTACAATGCCAAATTGACAAATCTTGCTGTCAGTCGTGTTCCTTTGTGTTATTCGTGTCGCCTGCTTTTACTGTTATCATYATTATAATCGGACAAGAATTTCATTCCCTTACTATCACATCTTGTATCTTATTTTAAGTTCGAAGTCTTGATCATTCCACGAAACATGCCGGACTAAAAATACATTCGATACTAATAAAAATGATTAAATCAGCCTTTGGAGAAATGAATTATAATAATTGATATTAAAGCGACATCAGTCATGGAATAATGGATGACAATGACGACAGTTTAGAAAAAATGATGGCAGGTTGCCTTTGATTGTCGCAATGATTTTGTCTCGCTCCTCTTTTTCACAACATTGGACGGAAATACCGACTGTGAAGGAGTCTATAGTCTCGTTATTGCTTCGTTCCTGGAATCCATTTTTATACAATCRACAAATATAAAATGACACTTAAATTAGATATTGTACTCTAAATCAACGCCAACGGCATAATTCAGCAGAAAAAAATGACCCTGACTACTGAGATTCGTCAATATAATATACTAGTTACTACCCTTTCGAAGTGTCACCTTGAAAAGACCTACTGTTGAACAGAACAGCCATTTCATTATAGCTAATGTCAGTCACTGAATGATTGAGATATGAATTTTTTATGTCACTAAAAGAGTTATAATTTATTCAAGTGTCAGTGTTAAAACAAAAAAACAAAAATGTCAAGGAACCACTGTTAAATCATTTTCTCCCCCAGGAAACATCCCATTATTATTCGTATCTTAAAAAAAAACAATATCAAATAACAAATGAAAGCATAAAAAATATATTCTATGAATTATTTACAACAAAAACTAGATAGTTTAATTTGAATACACGTGAGTGAATCGTAGCAACTATGATTTTCAAACAAGAGGATTTGCCGTGGATTTGTGGTCGATGCTACTAAGCGATGATTTGTGTCTTCTGGAGGTAGCGTTCAAACTAACTCGCCATCATTTTTCAAGGCCTGTCATTGGAGACACAACATTCGAGTCCTGTTGTTCTTTTTCGGCTATTTTGTTTTGTTTTTCAAACATTTTCACGATTTGTTGAAAAAGAGTTTCGACGCCATGGAGACGAGATAGAAAATTCTAATTCCAAGGGCTGAAAGGTACATATTTATTATATGTATTGATCAAATGTTTACTTCATAGCGCCATGGTTAGAACTGTTAATAATAACAATTTCATTTATTCCTTGCTTTATCTTAACTCTGAATATTAACCAATTTATCATGCAAACTGATATGACGATGTTTCTGTTATCATTCCGTCGAAATTTTGAATTTTTGAGACCACTAGAATAGAAAATTTCTTCTGAAGGTTTTATGAAGTATAGAGAAAACTAATACATTATGTTTTGTTATTTTATGTCTTATATCATTATAGTACTACAGCTCAAATATAAATAATGTAAAAGTTGCTTTATTTCAGAAGGTTTTTTTATGAAGGTTTTATGAAGTATAGAGAAAACTAATACATATATAGAGGATATTACATGGGCGCGCGGAGATACGGATTTTATCTTCGAGTGTTGAAAAGATCTCTCACGAGTGAGGGTAGCGAACGAGTGAGAGATTATTACATATGAAAGCAAATTTTGTCGTAAAATACCTTTTTTCTTACTTCCAGTATATAGGGAAACCTCGAATGTGTTATTTTCACTATTGAAAATATCAATTTTACGAAATGGAGAAATATAGGTATTTCGTAGATAATTATATGATAAGTTTTGTTATTTTATCTCGTTTATCATTATAGTACTACAGTTCAAATATAAATAATGTAACTAGTTGCTTTATTTCAGAATATTTACATATCTTAGGCATGTGTCTCTTCAAATTCAACGCTGCATGGGTCTAGTGCCAGCACTTCTTTTAAAATTTCTATTAAAAAGTGTCATAATTATTATTTTTTYTGACGCAAATGGAATAAATAGCAGATTAGGCTAAATCGGATAAACGACACAAAAGGACAAAATCATTCTCGAAAGCGGAAAAATGGTGCCTTTAAGCTTCCTTTTCCGTGTAAATTAATGAGTGAAAGACTAGAAAGACAATAGAAAAGTGATTTAAATGTTACCATAGAGACAGGAGTATAACATTCGATGCCATCTTGTTTTTGTTCACCATACAAGTTGAAATATATTCTACTAAAATAATAAAAATTACCCTTAATTCCTCCCGTTTCTATTCAGTTTTATCATTGCAAATTTAATATTTTCACGAATGAAACATATTTCGTTGAGTTGACAGTCGGTGTTTCCCGTTACAATCTAATTTTCCCATCCTTAAAATTATTTCGCAGTGAGCAAATGAATAATTTCAAATCCTTCACTAATCCCACTGAAAATTTAGTTTTCAGTTAAACCTCATGTAAAAGATGCATCGAAAATGTCATGATATAGATTCAAGACTACACGATGTTTCGTTTTCAAGTTGTTGTAATTATATTTTACGCAAGGACCGCGTTGAACGTCGGTTAATTTAAGCGGGGAACATCTGATTCAACGTTGTCATAGTAACATCGATACCGAGGTTCTCTTGTTAGTGCGGTGTTATCGGTAGATAAGCAGCTTTAGTTGGCACACTAGTCCAACAATCAATAAAAGATTTTCAACAACTAGATTTTTCCTACAAAGTTTCATATTATTATGGCTATAGTGTGTCGGTGTTAACGATGGTCGTCAACTTTGTCGATGGTTCAACCAGTGGGCTTCATTCGTCTTAGAAGGTTGGTARTCAGAGCAATTTTTATCACAGCCTATCTCGGGAAGAAAAATTAAAAACCCTAACCATTAATTTGGGGAATTGCACTTCATTCATTTTAAGTTTTGGGAAATTTTGATGTTTCCAGTTTTTGTCGTGTCGGGAAATCTCCTCAAATGGAAACTTGTGAAAGTAATCATGATCATTTGAAATGACTTTTGTGAGCAACACTTCGATGCCTCAAGAATTGTAACTTCCTGGGCTACAAAGTGACTCTAAAATTAGTCATTTTAAGGAATATATTGAACAAGTGTTCACTCATGCTAAATATATATTATTGAAACGAGCGAAAGAAGTTCTCAGTAGAGCATTAACTAACCGTATTCAATATGATATAGAATTTGCTTATACTCGGTTGCACAATACACCGTGATTAAAAAGACTTCTGGTTCGCCAGTCTTTAAAGAATATAATGCAAAAGTGATAATAAACCATTTTTCAATGAAACAGGACTGTAGAATCACAGTGATATTTCCTAATCCCGGCAGAAATCCGAAAGAAAATTGATAAGTATAGTGAAATTAAACAAACAAGGAAACATTTCCTATCGAAAATACAAAATTGAATACTTCTCTTTCAGTTCCTCGGGGCTCCGACAAGGGAAATGGAATAAAGAAATTGTTTTAATCTAATTCTCTATAGTAGCGAAATCTTGGCTTCTTATTTGGGCTGGAAAGCGCGGAAAACTGCTCAAGTAGCTTTCATAAAATCCAGAGACGAATGTTTGCTGAGCGCCTTTGACGCCTTCAAAATTGAACTCGCATTTCCATAAGCAAAACTCCTTTGTCTCAGTTACGTTTCTAGTGTTAATCTACTCGAAAATTACTGTGTTTTATTGAAATTGATATTCTTCTAATTTAGAGATTTTTTCGGTGTTTCTAGGAGGGTCAAGATAAAATCATTTTGCCTAAAGCCGATCGAGTGTATTTTTTGTTTGTCCAAGGCAGAACGTTCGATAATGACGGCTAGATATGACTGTATAATGAAAGAAAGAAGGCATGTTTACACTGGGATTTGAATTGATTCTCTTGTTAGACGTAGAAAATTTTTATAACATGTAAACAGGCTTCTTCTCACTTCTATTCTTTATTCAATGAGTACAGAACCTGCGATCTTCAAACTTTTTTTGAAAGTAATAAAAAAACTTGTTTATAATATCGCCAAAATTAGGCACAAAAGGAACTCTGCTATTAACAGCTTTCTGAACTAATTCWCCAAATTCCCCTTTGGTCCGTTATGAATGAATCCGTTATCAATAGTTTCTTTGGCCGAAAAAAGAGAAATAAAAAAATGTAAAGAGAGGGAGGAGGATAAAAGAAATTGACGATGATTGACAACCTTTTCGWTTCATGACTAAGTTCATCTTTATTATCATTACAATGGCACTGATGCATCCGGAGCCTTTTTGGAGCCTTTTTGATATACGTTTTAATCTTTATAGCAGGAATATTAAGATATTACGAAAAAAAAATCCCAATCAAATTATCAAAATGATCTTTTTTTTACTTTTGATTTTAACTGCCTAGTTGAAAGAAGRAATAAGCCCTTAATCTATTAAACTTTTCCTGGCTTTATAAATATTGAAATGGCGACCTAAAGTTTCAGATCAGAGACTGATCGCTTTTGTAAATTTCATTTCTCAATCGTCTTCATAATAGCTGCTCTTTTTCGTGCTCAGCTTGCTTAGACTGTGAATAGCCAGGTCAACAACAACAACAAAACAAAACATCGGCATATGGAATATTTCAATTCAACTGATTTGAAAACATTTTTTTGAATTTCGGATGGTTGATAAGCAAAATAAGAGAAAATGTAATTAGTAACCCGGCAGGAGCTTTCGACATACCTTCGATATATTCACTTCATGCGATGAATAAAACAAWTTTTCGAAAAGTACCCTGAAGCWCGAAGATTGCTGCCACTAAAAATAGCTGTCTTCCTCTTATATAAGTATTTTAATCTAATCAGCAATTATTCGAGATATCAGACTAACTCTTCATCGATTTAGTCGACTCTTACAAAGTTATCTTTTACCATAAAGAATTAATTCCTGAGATTTAAAAATAGTAAAAAAACATTGCGTTGGTGGAGGCAACGCACGTAATCCGTGAAACGAAAATAGTACAAGATATGTGATAAATTATTCGAGACTAATTTCTTTGTTTAGAATTGTATAATAATAGACASTACTTAGGGCCGGTTCACACTGCGACATAAGCGTAAGCTAATAAACAATAAACTTTAAGATTAAAACGGACGAAGAAGACAAAAGAAAGGTGCTTTTCTTTGTTTATTCTTTTGTCTTTAATTGGCTTAGTGGTTTGCTCCTTTTGTTCACAGCTACGCTTATTTCGATACACGCTTGACGTCATTCCTTTGTGTGTGTGTGTGTTTTTTTTCTTGGCTTATGCCGTTTATGCTAATGTCATAGTATGAACAGGTCATTTGTAGTAATTCGCAGTATTTGTTTCATGGGTTTGGTGCGTCTGCTCTTTATAGTAAATTTATTAAAGCCGTGAATCAAAATGTAACGTAACTATTAAAATGTAATATTCAAATAGATATTGAGACAAAGAAAAGGATGGTCTAAAGAGCACTAAGCTGTAGTAATATCGTATTAGTATATCTATTTCASGGGTTTCTCCTCCAAAATTACGTGCTAAGAACCTCTTCTGATTGAGAAAATGCACCTAGTATGCCCTAATAGCAGTTTTTATTGTGTCTATTTAACTTTCACACTTGAATAACCCAGTTTTTGTTTCACGTGTTTAATGACCTCACTCTCTACACTCAAAATTACTTTGCGGTTTTAGGGGAAAACATTTTAGTATCGGCTGTTCCATTATTTTCCGCTTTAGTTTTTATTTGATTATTGTTTACCGTCGGCAATGACTGATTTGTCAGTGAAAAGTACAGTTTGCATGCAATTGCTTTTTCTTTTACTCTGTCGATATTAAATTAGGAGCTAAAAATATCGTTTTCCTCATTCACTGAAAATCAGACTTTACGTTTGTTTCATTGCTTTAGGGTGGTTTCTATATCATGAAAAAAAGGAATAAAGGCTGCAATTCTAGCCAGTCACTATATTGAGAATTATTTCATAGGTTTATGAAAATTATTCTAAATCCGTCAGTTGAAAAGTGTAATAAATCATACTTAGAAGCAGAAAAACCGAAATGATAACCTCCTTCATGAAAATCACTTCCTCAAGATGAACTTCCTTTTTGCTTTCCCCAGGGTTAAGAAAACAGCTCTGTAAGTACGAACGCAAAGGCCTAGTCCACGTGACGAAAGAGAATTTCTATTTGTAAATCATTTTTCCTTTTTTGCGTGCTGTATTTGGAACGTTTTCGGGTTTGCCCCATCTGTAAGAGASCTTCTAGTAGTTTATTTTCCTTCATGAAATGGAAATAATGGCAAGTTGAGTGCTTGGAAAGAAGGTTATTCCGTGCAAAAGAAAATAAAACTTAAAAAATTAATTTCCGACCTCGCTGAGATTCGAACCCATGACCTTCGAATTTGTACTACTGGAATCCCAGCAAGGTCGGAAATTCATTTTTCCAAATTTATTCCCAATGTGATTTTCACCAGGAATAACCTCCTCTAGCACTATATATAACTTTTTCTATTTTATGTGATCCCTAGTGCTACGCGGTGCTCATATTCATGCATTTTCCTTCGCGGTCAAATTAACAATTGATCTATAATCTCGTTCATTATTATTGGTATTACTATTATTTAGGTTATACTGAGCATTCTAAGCATACTTAGCAAATTATTATCCTTATTTTTGTGCTTCCATTTTATTCGATTGACCGTACGTTTTTAACAGATTTTAAGTATAAGATTCATTTAAATTATATACAGAACTATTTTTTAAACCAGACATAATTTTATGCCGAATAATCCTCTTGCAGTCATTTCCATTCCATATATGGCAGAATGCTAGATTAGAAATTGAAACAGCTGCTTTGCCACGTGACCCGAGAKATATTGTTGTTTATTAGTTTCTATGCAGAATAATTATGGCAAGTGGTGTGATATAAATTTAAGGTAAAATTAATCTCTGTTATCTACTGTTTGTCACTTTTTACCAACGAATTATGTAGTTCTTCACGCTAGAAATAATTCGCGGAATTATAAGCCGATCATCTTAATTCATTTTAAATCATTATTTAGCAAGAAGCAATAATTTTCAGACAGTTATTTCAACTAGTTCTTTCTAGGAAAATTAAGACGTTTAGATGGATTATTATTATCTCGCTGGTTCCACGTAAYTTTAAGCTTTAGTTCGCCCAATATATGTTTCCAGACATTTCAGATATACACTGAGTTATTTGAAGAGATTATGGCCGCTAGCATAGGTACTGGATCTATCAACATATAGTGTAACTGATGTTTCATAATTAAGCCTTTAAATCCTAGTTAAACTGAACTTTGTTTGAACAACCCTAAGTCAACATGACTCCATAGAGTTTTATTTATTTGTAGTCATATTCAGTGAGATAAGAGCAAAAATCACATTAAATTACCCATGATGCATCTGTTGTAATCATATATGTTATCGTTCAATATTTCTTCAAAGGACTGTATTTTTAATAAGTGAAAGGGATTTGGGATAAACACCACGCGCGATATTACAAAATTGTCAAACAAAATGTCACGATCTCACAGTGTCTTACGTCTTTATACTTCAGCTATCAAAATTTTGAATTTTATCTATTAAAATATTTATTACGTTTTGATCAAATATGCTTGGTACATTCAAGAATTAATTTGCTTTTTTTTTCCTTTTTSCAGCTAATGGGAGGGTGTTCATCAGCCCAAGTCGCGCCAGAAGGCGTTCCTCAGCAACCAAGAAAACAAAACAACTGGTGTTTATGTTGTGCACAAAGGTACTATACAATTAATCCCAGAAAGGCTGCTCAGTTAAAAAAAAACATGTTATTTGCATACATCGCGTTTTCAATTAGTTCACAAGAATTTTCGATTCATATGCAATTCATGGTAAATATACCATATATCTGAACAATTCATTAGAACTGTCCACAATATTTCGAACTAAGCAATCTTTTTTAAGACGAGGCGACGGTCAGACTAACACATGTATTGGAAGAATAAGCATTGGATCATAATAATGTCATACAAACATAATATCTACTAATGATAATAAGTACTAATGATGGGAAAGACTAGWCAATGAAATGCAAATGAAAGCCCCTTGTTAACTGCTTTACAGTTCACGAATATACTTTTAAAACGAATGGCCTTTTTCGTACCAAATTCATTCTATTTTTTATTTTTTGCAAAATTGCTATTTAAGAAAACATCTCCAGAAGTCGACTGATCATGAAACCGAGTAAATTACAACAACCGAAAGTGCACTTTGAAAGGAAACTTTAAGGTTCAGATTTAATTTCATGCATCCCGTTGATTACAGCAAATCGCCGGCACATACAAATCTATGAATCTTCACCCTTGCTGTGTTGAACCATGCAGTGATTGTTCGGATACGACTCCACAAAAACGAGAGTACATGGCTGTAATTGATTTTGATTCTAGTCTATCTTATGCAAACTCCACAACTTCGTGCCCGCTTTTTTTGCCGTCCTGTTAATCTCCGGCCCAAACTCTCTCGGAGCAGCTAGGAACGCCTGGCTACGCAGGCTACCGTCCTGTTGAATGCAGCTCGTGAAGGGCACTGATGAAATTCTTGCCTCGTCTGCAAACTACTGTCTGTTTTTAACATGACGTCACTTCGACTTCCTCTACTCCTCTACCAAGAGGTCTCTCGTCGAGTTCAACAGGTGACCCGCCGTCATTTTCAATGAGCAGACAGAGTAGCCTGAGGAAGAGGCTAGTGAATAACCCTTTCGCAAGATGTTGGTTCTGCAGAACCAAAGCGAGGCTTTGCCTAGGTTAATATTTCCACGTGTTCACGATAGATGAAGAAAATTTCAGAGCAAGCAAAAAAATCAAAGGGAAAAGTTGTACTCGACTTTGTCATGCCTATTCAGGAATTGTCGTCGAAGGAGTCAAGAGAACTTTTCATAAAATGCCAAAAGATAGATCGTTATGAAAACTATGGATGCAGTGCGACAGAAATTCGACTCTAACTGAAAATGTCGAGAAAAGTGTGAGTTTGTAGTAGACACCTTGCAGCCAAAATATGATTATTAAAGCGTAATGTTATTGCTTGCCCAGAAATTTTCTACACTCTTTTGTGAACACGAGAAAATGTTGTGACCTATCCAATGYCTCGCTTTCGTTCTGCAGAACCAACTTCTTGGGGGAATAACCGACTTGCGAATTTTGCCTCAGTAGTCACACACGAAGGAATCAAGACGAGTCGCCGTGCATAAAGCTCAGTCATTCGTGGAAAGACAATAGTTTTTCACGATTGACTGAGCTTTACGCACGGCGCCTCGTCTTGATTCTTTTGTGTTTGACAACTGGAGCGAAATTCGCAAAATCGGCTAGAGCCTGCGTAGCCAGGCGTTCCTAGTCGCTCAGAGAGAGTTTGGGCCCGRGATACCCAGAAGGGTCGCCTTTTCGCCAGCGGAATGAAATACTGTGAATGAAGCACATTTCAAGGGTATTTCCCCTCAAATATAGAGTTGCAGGCTCTGGGTACACTCTGCCACAGTATTTTGCTCGTTCGTAAATGGACCAAAAAACACGTTCTTAAAAGTAATTAAAAAAACCTAGTTAGCACGTAAAAAATTAATAGATGAAAATCATTACCTTATAATTACAGTGAGTTTAGTTTCGACTTTACCCCAATTCAACCATCTTGGATTTAGGCAATAGGCGAAGGACTAATAACGGAGAAGAGAATTTCCCTTTGTCCTCCTGTTAGGAAATATTCTCAAACTACATCATTGAAAATATTAAAGAAYGCTCTAAGAGCTTGTTATATTTGAAACATGCAACGAATTGTAACAGTTTATTAAATAAAAGAAATTTGTTTCGTGCTAAAGTCTCATAAGTGCGTGAAGACAACGAAAAATATGAGGCAAAGAAATTAAGGTTTTCAAGAAAGTTAGCTATTCATGTTTGAGGTTAGTTTCAACTTTTTTCCTACTGAAAATTGATGCATCTTGGGAACGAGGGTTCCAATTAGTAAGCGAAGGGMGAGGTGATTAACCACGTCAATAACTTATTAAGGGTTTGGCTTTGACGCAAATCTAATGACGCACATAGCGCGCAAGAAAAAAAATTCCCTTTAGTGCAGCAATAATGCTGGCTAAAAATATAAATTTTAAGTAGCAGTATTCTATTATATTGACTTTYACGATCTATAGTACAATCAGAACATAATTTTATTAACCTCTGTTACATCAATATAACTGACATAGACTTTTGGTAAAACAACTAGACTAGAGCGGATTTCGTATGAGTGGGACACCGTTACCGCACGGTTACCGCACAGTTACCGGACCTGGCCTGCACAATTTTGGTGAACCAATGAGGCACTAAAATGTGGTTACAGTAGTACGATTACGGTCACAGTACAGTACCGTCCGTTTCCCACTCATATGAAATCCGCTCTATAGCTTACACAATGTATCACAATGTAAGGCCATGCCCGTTTAAAACGTTCAATCATTTAGAACCTAAATTATCTTTGCTCACCATTTGCATTGAAATCGGCACTTGCGAGATTGGACGTTCTGAATAAAGACACGAGGCATACGCCGTGATTTTGATATACGTTTTGGCTATAGTCTGTTCTGACTGTGCAGTCACGATGAGTCTATTTTCTTATCTTTTTGGTTGTAGAAAACAAGGATCTTCAACAAAGATAATGAACAAGGGAGATATCGAGGCAACGAAGTAAGTGACATATCTGTAAGCTTTTGTGAATGTTAAACAAAAATATTACTCTGGTTTTGCTGAAAAATTCTTGCTTAAAAACACTTACCCTTGCTTCGAAGAATTTGTGAAAATTTAGTTAAGCTCAATTTAAGCAATAGATTATAYTTCTATTTCAAAAGTATGTACTCAACTTAAACACATCATCTAAAAAGCTCTTTGTTTTACTCAGTTGTCTTTTTATGGTCATCCGATTGTCACATAATTCTATCTTTATTTCATTTTTATTCTATAAATTATTTCTTTTTCAATTGCTCATTTTCCCTTGAATAATGCGATTCACAGTTATCGATTTCACTTCACTTTCACTTTCTCTTTCAACCTTTCTTTTGTTAGATGTTCCCAATTATTTGCCAATCCATCTGTTTCTTCATTTATTTAGATCTAGTTTAACTCTATTGTCCATCAAAGTTCAAAAGATTATAAAAAGCATAAACCAAAATTTTATAAATACATAACAAATGGAGTGTCACTGGAMAYGGGGCCGGTCCCATTTTGGACTATTCAAGTTTCGGGTCAGTTCGACCGCGCGTCAGGCCCACCGAAACTCTAGAAACTTATTTGAACATAAAGTGTCATCAGTCATTAGAAGAAACGGTTTCAAGATACAGTTGAATTTTTGAAATACATCGCTATATAATCATCCTCGGGAACCCAGGGGTAATCTTGTCGTTCGTTCTTCACTGTGAGGAACGAACCACARAAGATTATCCCTGGGTTCCCGAGGATGCTATATAATAAAATAGATAAATAACAACTCGTTTCTATAGTCCGAATATTCCGCAATGAATTTTACTATTCAAGAGCGCGAACACCTTGGCACACAAAATAAAAAAAGAGAGGGAAAACACCACTAACGACAAACTAGCAATCATTAAAAAACGAGAAATACACAAACATAAAGACACAATAACATATCCACACAAAAAAAATCAATCAATTATAACTACTCTCYTGCTTTGGCCTTCAAGAACGGGAGCTCCYTYGTGTAACCAATTTTAAAACATATCATTCACAGGCCGACGCCTGAAGAAGCAAAGTCCTGGGAGAACGACTTCATTGGGCTTCTACGTCACAAATATGGCCTTAATGTCTTCCAAGAATTCCTTCGYACTCAATACGGAGATGAGAATTTAAATTTCTGGATGGCAGTAGAAGAATATAAGAAAATATCTGATAAAAATTCCCGAAATGACATGGCACGTATGATATACGAAGATTACGTTTCAACACTCTCGCCAACTGAGGTACCTTTTAAAAGCTGCATTTTTCTGCCATTGTACCACCACAAGACCTTTTGTGGGAGACCTAATTGTTCAATTTAACTTACCGAGTYAAACGTCGTACTTTTTACATRATSAAAACTAGCGGTAACAGCTGTTAAATAAGACAAATTTTAGACTAATACCGTAAAAAGTARGTSAAATAACTTACTGAACGTTTCGGACGTTAATTMTTCGTCGAAAAAAAGTAAACGTGAAGGCAGTGACAGAAATGAGTCTCTTTTTTCGTGATTTACACCGTTATATGCCMAAAACTTTACAAACTTTACCATCTCAAATCCTGTCAATATAGTTTTATTATTTTCTGCTTTCAGATAAGTTTGGACGCTAAAATCCGTGCAGCAGTGGATAAAGAAATGTCTGACCCAGACGAAAACACTTTCCAACTGGCACAACAACATATATTTGAATTAATGCATCGAGACTGCCTGCCAAGATTTCTCAAAAGTAAAGCATACAAACAACTTACAAAAAGATAGAAAATACCCTAAAAAAATGGGGGTTTCTGTATAGTTTGATATTTCATACAAATAATTTTATTACCAAAATGCTTCCGGTAAGTGGGAGAAAACCTCTTTATAAGATGGGCATTATTAACTGATATTTACTGAACCTCATTTGAACGTATTGTTGTTGTTGTTTTTTTTATGGCCTATATCAAAATCAGCAAAAATGCAAGAAAATCTGGATGTTGCCACTGCCATGAACTCCCTGGGGTTCATGCTATTCAATTGTTTATCGGAAAAAATGGCGCATAACACTTGTCAAAAGTCGATTGCAAAACCGAAAGGAGCCATGGTTTATCTAATTGTTGGGGGTTGGCCCAATGGAGGTGAACCCAGAAAGTGAAATTTGTATGCCAAACGATGTAACCATAGTCCCTTTCGGCCATGCAACCTTCGACAATCGTTGTTAGTCCCCGCAAACGTTTTTTTTTTCGTACACATGACTGTAAAATCAAAATCATTTGGACTGTTTTAATGAGGATCAGTACAATATATCAGTTAATCGAGATATTCAAGGATGCTATCGGAAGCTTCAGAAACCTAAGTTCGACCTTTYATCAGCTGTATTCATTTGCAAAAGCAACCTCTTAGTACTACATTCATCTTTTTCTCAATAGGATTTATATTACTCGATATCCAAAACATATTTTACAGTATTCACAGCTAAGAAAGCCTCAGAATTCAGATAAGTGTCTAATATGCATCAAAACACTAACATTTGTTTGAAAGCAACTATCTTGACCGAATSGATTGGAGAACTTAGATGCTGAATTTCCGCATTTTCTATTTTTTCAAAAACCTTTTTTCTCGGTATAGACTTGTTATAACTTCAACAGCAACATGCAGATTTATTATAATCATAGTTAGTATGGTACTAACTCATAGTTAGTATTGTACTAACTATGCTACTATCTATAAACCCGACACGGGTATGGTGCAAAATCTACAAGACATGAGAATACATGTATATAGATTGATGCCTATAAATCAATTTATTCCTGAGATTTAACATTTAATACTGTCTTTCTTTTTCCACCATCAATAATTGGCAAAAATGAGCTTGCATTTAAACGCAAAACATCCAGTCGAATGTCCCTGAAAAACTATTCGCATAATTATAAAAGCCATTTAATTTCACAAACAAATTAAAGCTTGATATATCTACAAAGGTATTTRCCGGAGTAACAATAGTACGCTTCTTATCGTGAATTATTTAAGATTGAATTGTACATAGTAACTAAAGGTTTTCGAAAGTGATATCATTTGTTTCACTTGCTAAAATCGATTCAAAACATATTTATAAGGGGATTTAATTTTGGGGTGTAAAAAGTTGAATTGAGAAATTTCATTTGAAATTGTCCCKTWAAACAGGGATGCACTGATAATCATTTGAATGCTTATTATAGACCCCTTGCAGTTGATGGGAATGCATCTCCAACTGGAGGATAAAACAATGAATGTTTGATCCAAAGAGAGCAGAAATCTTTTGTTTTGTCCTCCAGATAAAGCTTCTTTGACCTCATATGCAAGGGTTCTATAGTAGATTTTGTGCATATCTTGAACTGGACTTAATCCAGGGGGATGCAGGTTCAGGTTAGYAGAAAGGGGGGGTGCATACTAAATACATATCAACGATGGGTGTGCATCTCTGTTCTATCAACTGAAACYATCCCTGGTATAATAAAGGGTCATCGCCAATCATGATTCTTAATCTGAGCTGTGAAACTAAAACTTATCGATGATTAGCTGATCAGAGTTTTTGAATCTTGTAAAATGTTATAAAATGGCTTAGAACATACTTGGAAATGTGCTTTCTAATAGTTATTATATTTATAAGTACACTATAGTAAGATATCTAAGTAATGGCTACTGGATATGTTTCACAAAAAMCGGATGGAAATGGATTTTACATGGATATCACAAATCACCTGACTTGTCAAGTTTACGTTTTTTTGTGTGTGAATTCTCAGTGAAATCACTGACCGCAGTGCATGATGGTTGGCTATGGTCCTTTTTATAAGTGAACAAATTTAGTTTGATAGATAGAAGCAACATTGTATCATAGGCACTCTGTGAATAGAGAGCACAAGCATTACCCTTAATCCATTCACTTTGCACATTGAAACCTGATTTTTACTGGTGTTGGACATTGCCAGTTAAGCAAACAAACAATATAAAGAATAATACAAAACAACAAACAASTCAATAAACACAAAAGAACAAATAAACAAAAGCAAACAACGACAAAAACATAAATAACCATAAAGCAAACATACAATCCAAACTACATTAGAATATTTTGCCACGTTTCACAACAAAACTTTGTATACTTTTCAAAAAAGATTACAGTTGAAAATCAGGTTTCATTTCTAGATCTTTCTAGTAGAGCACATTACATTAATGTCACAAAATATTTTGCTCAATATTTAATGGATTAGGTAACTAGAATATGGTCTTAAGGAAAAACTCTAGAAAAGAAAACTTAAGCAGAAAGAAATGTTTTCAAGTCTGTGCAGTGAATCTGTCAACAATAGCTATACTATAATAAAAATAATTATAAAACATTGAGTTGTTGTACATAGGAACAGAAACATATTTCAAATTGATATTGCATACTAGGCTAATAATATACAGAAATATGGTGGAATGTTTTTAGGAAATATACATTAAATTCAACAGTTTTTACAATCAGAGAGTACCGAAGCTGAGACTGAATGAATATGCAGAGAGTATAATATTTCATCATAYTTGGAAGATGACTGAAAGATTATGGGGGCTTTGCTACCTGAACTTTAAACATAGAGTGGATTTCTTTCAACTATGCAAAGCACTTACTAGTCAATAATGAACAAAAGAAAACAATGGGTTTCATTTACTAATTCTAAATATTTATAAGTTCATCTATTCTTTCACAGTCAGGGGAAAACTACTGTGGTTTATATAAATGTGTAGGCACAGTTCTAAAAAAGAAATTATACTCCTATCATTCAATTTCAGTTGAGTCAGTTTGTGTATTTCATGCTTTAAAGGGACACTGTCAATGGATGACATGCRCGAGTAAACTTGAAAACATTAGGCTAGTGTTTTCAAGTTTACGACTCCAAGTTGGCGCGACGCATGACAAAAAAAGTACTCGTAAACGTAAACAGATCTAGAATATTCCAAGTGTGTCAAAACATTGATTTACCTCGAAGGTAATACTTTCAAAGTCCGTTAGAGGCACGACTGTTACAGCGCATGTCATCCATTGACAGTGTCCCTTTAAGAAATCATTAGTTTATTGTTTCACAGATTTACTGCATGTACCCCTAGAGTATCATGTCACAAAATACATAACACTACTCAAACCAGAATCTGGAGATGAAGATCCGCTAATACTTCTTATAATAATATTATTGTGTAAATAGCAAAATGATTAGAAATAAAAGAAAACTACTGTATATGAATGCAATGGATGCTTTTTAAATGCACACACTTTGATACACACTATAATGTATATTTAATTGAGAAAATAACTGGATTAGGATTAGGAAAGCCARTGAATATAGAGGAAAAATCCTCTGAGAATGGGAAACTCATATCACATYGGTTTAGAAAATGAACATTGACCACTGTTGTTACAGCCCTGCCAGACCTGCTTCCCAAATGTATTGAGTCGGTAATAATAGTAATGCAATACATATTAATTTTATTCTATTTAATTTATTTAATAATATGTATTTTAACATATTAAGTTTCAACATTCAACAATTTCTCACTTTCATTCATGATTATAATACCAGAAAGCTTAATTTTTAGAGCAAAAATTGTTGCATTTATTTCTTTTAAGTTCATTTTAATTTCGTTTCTGTCTGCAATCTAATGTATAAAGCTGTTGTCAATACATTTAATACATGCTAATCGACATTGTTATGTGCTGGAAAAGAATCACTATTTGACATTTTCAGTTTTGAAAAACCTGATTACAGTATTGAGACTAGCATATACTTTAAGACTCAATACTTTAAGACTTTAAGGCAATTTTTGTGTAGTCACATAAGTTACATATTATTGCACAACTGAAAAATATGCCAAAAACATAACAAACATTCCATGTAATGCAGAGTTAAGCATTACTGGTAGCTTRCCAATTCATGAATCCTAAACAAAAAACTTGAATCCCCAAGTACATTTAATTTCCACTGTCAACTTAAGCTTCCAATAAAATAACTTTTATTAAAGCATACCAAATACAATACGATCTTCTGCCTACCCATGCCAATGYAACAAATGTCTGATATAAGGCAGGACTGTTTGTTATACAAATCTCACATTCGGTCATATCACTATCTTTCCAATGTAAACAATGTACCTTTAAGTAACCACAACACTAAGTTCTTGCGTAATCTTCTTAACAAAACTGTCAAAGGGAAAAGCAAACATTTCATTACCAAATAAAAGCAATATATACATTGTATTCACACTTGTCAAGAACCTCGCCATATGAAAACATGTGATTGAGTAGGAAGGCAAAAGCAGATGACTGAAGCTGAACTCTTTTGTTAAACAGAGTAATGAGCTTCTTTATTGCTGAAATATTGTTGTGGTTGCTGTTGTTGTAGTTGTTGTTGTTGGTGATGTTGTTTTTGCTTGATTGTTTTTGTTGTTGTTGTTTTTTTTACTGCACTTACTTGGACATTAATTGAATGACCAGTAATATATGGCGGTGATAAATAATCCAATAATAATAATAATAATCACTTTAATTATAATTTAATATTTATCATACAATTAATTAAATCTTAGAGTCAGAGCACTTAATCCATGATAAATTTAGACAGTACAAAATAGGTAATAACTTATTACTAGAAGAATAGAGTGGTTTTAAATGACCCGYAGATGCATTGTCACTCATAGTTCAATAGCTTGCCTTTTTTCGCATTGTGTAACACTCAGTCCATATTTTGGTATAATACACTGAACACGACAAATAAAAATGTGTACAATAAATTGCAAAAAAAAAAAAATAATATGTTAAAATGTATTTTACAGGTTAATGAAAACCACTGTAATTCCTCTGTTTTCCATTGTCTAATCAACWAWATTTAGTATTAATACTCTTTGTTTCATGGATTAAGCRTGTTTACTCCTAGTCATTCATTAATGTCAATGTGAATGCTATTATTTTGGTGATATACAATCCATATGTAAATATCAATCCATCAATCATTTAGAATAACTCATTACTTTGTTGTCATTYAAGAGGAACTGGTGAATCAAGTTATAACATCAAAATGTACATGTAGGCAAAAAAATGTTCTCGAATTCCATATGCAAATAGTATTGCCCAAAATATTCTTGAGGTTTTATTCTTACCTTCCATCTATTACCACAGTTCATACAGTACACAAAGGTTGTCATAGGCTCGTCGGCACTTCTTGTTTGAAGCTATAAGAATAATCAAGCCAAATCCTCATAAGTTTACAAAAATAATTCATGAATAATTCATAGGCTTTTAATCCAATGAGAGTTGACCATTGGGTCACATGATGCACCATGCAAACCTGATAAAGTGCTGTTCAAAAGACAGTCTATGGTAACAACATGATTTTTCAGGAAACTTGAGTACTAGTCTGGCCATAAGTCTGGCCAGGATTTAGTCTCTGGCCTCTACCATCTTAGCAAATGAGCCAACAAGCTGTTATTATCCAATGTATGTACACTAACCATTCCTACACTAACTTAAGTAAGAACAACAGTTACACTTGATACTGTACCTGGTTATATGTAGTTTTTCTCTGGCCACATTTCCCACATTTAAATAGACTTGTTTCAGTGCCAGCATTTTTRGCCATCTGTGCTTCTTTGATTCCCTCTTTGGTGAACTCCTGGCGTAGTTTCTTTAGCTCATCACATGCCATTTCCTAATAATAAAAGCAATTATTAATGAATAAAATGGACAGATGAGATAGCAACAGATTTATCATGTATCAAGCTGGTACAGCGACTTTAGGAGGAAACTCTATAAACATCTGAGATACTGGTTAGATGCTCTATAATGCTATGCTACAGTGTAGATGGAGACCACTATTATGTCAAAAAATTAAAAGAAAAAATWAAAAAATAAAATAATTTCAATGATCAAGAAAATACCTCTTCAAAAAACATATTTTGCACATATTATAGTCATAAACATTAAAGTGCTACCACTATAATGAAAATTTCCAACTGCTGAAAATTGAGTAAACCTATCTAACTATTAACCAGGTCTTTCAGGTTCTCAAATACTGAACATTTTTTTTATCAGTAATCATTGAGCAATGTGTTTTTAATGTTTTTCTTGTACTCTGATCAATATTCTCAAATATTTTGGCATAGCTTTTTACAGTTGATGACAATACAGACTTGAACCTACATACAAAAACTTATAAGTAACTCCATTACAATACACCTTTTCAATTGCTCCTAGGCCTCGATAAAAAGTTAATTATTCTTTTGAATTTGACAAATGAGACCAATCATATCAATGTGTGCATTGCTCACATTCCTACAAATTCAAAAGAATATTTAACATGCTGCCGAGGCCTAAGAGCAACTGAAAAGGTGTATTAGTTCACTAACCTCGGATGACATGGTAGCAAATCTCTCTGGTGTAATCTCTCCACCCAGTAGCCTCACTTTCAACATGGGGTTTTTAGGGTCTCGTAAATTGTTCACTCTGCTGCGTATTCTTTGTTTGTATTTTACATTGGTGTCTTTAAACTCTTCAAATATACCTTCATTGGGTTAAGGGCATTACAAAATACATTATGAAACCATCAGCACAATCATTATATTTAAACAGAATATTCAATAATGAAATATAATAAATAATGAATAAATAAAGTTTCAATTTCAGTAAAGGATACAGTTTTCACATCTTGAGGCAGCCTCTTCTGCTGACATAACTTAAAGACAAAATAACCAAGATGAGTGCCAACAATCAGAAATACTAACACTAATAAACCTAACTGCACACAGGCTACATAATTTTTAAAATGGTGAAGTAAACTATTTTTAAATGGAGTGTTGTTTATATGACCTTTCAGGTCGATTTTATCTAAATCTCAGGGAATTTGCATATTTTGAAAAGCTACGTACTCTTAGAGCATGAATTCGGGCTAGCTATTTTGGAAAATTGACAATGAGAAAGACAGGATATCACTTCTGGCTTGATATTTCTAGTGTTTTGACATCATTGCACCAAGCTKCCAGAAAAGAATATCGCAGTGTGTGAATATGATTAGAATTGAACTGCACATTAGTCAATTGATTAAAAAAACTAGTGAAAGATATTCTACAATTATATGATAGTCAAAATATTACATTGTCGCTTGGGGCCACAAATTTTATCCTATTGTATTGAAAATCTTTCGCTTTCTGTGTATCCGCACACCCAAGTAATATCCTGTCTTTCTCAATTTTCCCAAAATAGCTTGTCCGACTTCACTCTCTAAGAGCGTCTAGTTAGAAATAAAAAATGTAAAAATATTTCTAATAGCACAGGAAACCCAAAAGTGCATTGGACAAGAGGTATAATATTACGATAATTCCTAATGACAACCATTAACAATGGCAATAATGGAAGCTACTGTAATAGAGTGCAATTATTGATTGTGTAGCCCTTTTCAACCAAAATATGTTCTTCATATGAACCCTCTACTAACAATTTCATATATATTATTAAATAACCAACAATAGGACTTTTCTTAAATAGCATTAAGTATTGCATTGTGCTCTGGATTCTGTACAAAGACCCATGTACAAAGACCTCTAAAAAGATCCATGGTAATATAGACCACAATGCACCATGACTTCATATTACAGAAGAAGCTGATTGGAYTGAATTTGACAACCAATAATCATTAAATTATTATTACTGTAATGAGGAAAAAAAGGATAGATTTATCATCATTCAACAAGAGGTGCTTTGTACTACACTTACTGGCTTCAAATCCTTCTGTAACATTTAATGAATTCTGGATCATTTCTCTGCACTTGTCCCTGACAGAATCTTTAGTAACGGTCGCAGGTGGAAAGGATGTTATTTTTTTCTCCAAACTAGATGTTTCTGAAGAATCTGACTTTGTGCTTAATGCTGGTGATGTACTTCGGCTTGATTTTTCATTACTTGGTGGTTTATTGTTGTCTTGTTTGCTGTCCTTTTCACTTGACTTTTCTAGATTACAAGAAATCAAGTCTGTATGAACAATATAATTATTGCTATTTATATGATTGTATAATGCAGACATGTACTTTTTGAGGCAAATATTTGGACAAAACRACTCAGGGAATGAAATGAAATTACAAGATGGTGCCATGAATAATGATATAATTATACAGGAAGCCCGTAGAGAGTTTAGAAGCCAAAGACCTTTGAGAATTAGTTCTAGAGGAAACCTACCAGGTAAGAGTTTTTTCCAGGACTTAATRAGACTTTTTGCCATAGTTTGAACATCACCATTGTCACTCTTCTTTCTTAAAGTATTCACAGACATTCCAATTCTGGTTTTCTTTCAAGGAAATAAATGAAAAATATTTTCATTTAAATTTAAAACAATTAAATCCATCTATGGGAAAAGAATGACAGCTAATAATCAGGTGGGAACTCTATATAACAAATCTCTTACGTTATGTAAGAAAATATTTTCTAGAATCATTGTATTTACCTGTAAACATTCAAGGGTAATRGGAAGGTCTTTAAGCTTTTTTAATAAATCTCTAGCTGCAACAGGATCCATTGCCTAAAATACCAGAAAATACACAATAAAAATTATTATTTTCATGAAACTATTATTAGTTCAAGGTATTCATAGTATACAAATCAAACACATCATTTGCGTGTGCGGAATTGGCCAATCAGAATAGAGGACACGTAATGSCAGCCATGTTGTCCCACAAAAATGTAAACAAATTCGGATCGGAGGGGGAAGTTGAGATGGTTTTGAGGTGTTGCTGGTGCACTTGTAAAGCAGATGAGTGCTACCCAGCCAGGCTTAATGGAGGACGATTCATTCTGTTCCCAAACTAATCTAGAAAAATGCTTGGAATGGATCGAGATGTGCGGACGAAGGCACTGAAGTGCCTAATGTAAAACGCATAAAAAATAATTCAGTCCTTTCTCTAGGACTTTCTCAGAAAGACTTAAATGTTTTTAACAAAAGAAACAGAAATATTATCGGGAATTTTATACAAATCATCGGAAGATTGTGTCATTTATGAAAACTTGAAAGCATTTGTGGGACAAGCTAAAAAGCAGCAAGTGTTCGATTCCCACGCTTTCTTCTGATTGGCTTATCGCACGCTCGCACTTGATTTGTTGGAACCATGGATTGGCTGCTAAATACAAATATCAAAGAAAAAAATAATGTAGGAGACAATTCCAGGTGTATCCATACCTCAACCTGATTTCCTGGGGATGGAGGGGGTTGTGGTTGTTTGGGGGGAGGGGGAAGGAGGGGGACTGCCATGCTTGGATTTAAACGATACACAAAATGAGAATTTTAAATAGAATGTTGATGAACACAAGTATAAAATCTTGGATGAAACAATCAAATCCTATTTACTGGAAATACAGTACATTCAAAGCATGTATATAACACCCTTAGAAATCAATAGGAATCAAATTAAGCTTCCAGGAAAAGAGGCTTGAAAAGAGCTCATTGAAGATTCATTTACAAGAATAAAAGGTTTCGTTTTTTTGTAATTCTGGAATAACTAACTTTAAAATATTTCATTTATAGCAAAGACCTCATTGTTCYGATGTAAGGAATGAATAAACAGATTTTGGCGGTAAATGGAGGCTTACACATGGTGTAGAGATCGCCTCGACTATCTACAAGCAAAGTTGGTGAGATTTTGTGTAACTTACTCCCTTATCTTGGCCAACGATTTTCTCAAGTTGTTTTCCAATCTGGAAAACCTCTTCTTCCAGCGTCATGGTTATGTGAAATGGATAAAATAACTAGAACAGCTAACAAAACATGAAATGCATTTTCTACGTTCAAAACGATCGATGGGATACATGAGCCTGTGTGCTTTGCACAGCGGYGATGTACGAAAGTTAGACAGGGAACCCAAGAAGCCTTCTCGGATTAATTTTGAAATTGTCAGAGCCTTTGATATTATTATTTTTTAATTATCTAAATATGTCATGGCCCAACATCTGCCATAAAAATTTTCTACACAGAAGTAGTTCTTTCTTTACTCATTTTCCCAAAGATATTTTAAGTATTACATTGTTAAYTTCTAGGTATAGAACATACATTGCATACATGATACGTGTGGTCTGTGAATTTGAATTTTGACGAGATTGTTCCTTACACTTTTACACACTTAATATTTCCTGTGTTATTGCAGAATATTTGCATGCCTGATGGTGTTGTCATGGTAACCTTACAATAAAAATTCCGTGGTGTTACACACGATTGGATTCTGATTGGCGGTGGCATAATTATCACTAATTGATAGTATATTAACACATTCATTGGAGAAGAAAGCGGATTACCAGGTCCGTGTCTTCGCAAATACATCWCATGGAAAGGCCTCACTGCCTGAAATGGAGTCACCATCAGTTCCAAAGGAAGAGKGGTCAGCTGAGGACAGCGTAGCGACTCCAGACGACGGTCCAGAGATATCGAAACAAGGCAAGGATTCTCTGTGTAACGACGAAAATCAAAACACAACTAACGAACAAAAAAATGAACTTGACAACGAGTCTAGTCAACAAGGCGAGAAAGCTGTAGGAGAAGAGGAACGCAAAGAGGATATTCAAAAGAACGAATCARCTGAAAATAACCACCAAGCCAGCTTGARTRCAGAAGTGAAAGTCAGTGARCATCGCGAAGGTAGTGAGGATCAAAACGTGYCGGATGATCCGATCACGGTGAAATCAGTAACACCACGRAAGACTAAGAAAAGAGGAATATTTGTGAGCTAYTCGCCGGAAGCAACATTTGAAGAAAAACGATTTATATCCTACACAGTAAAAGAGCTCAAAAACTTGGGCTTTTCGGACGATATTTGGTTTGATAAAGATGAGGTTGCCCTTGACAGTCCTCTGTGTTCACAGCAGAGATTGGAAATTGTCGAGAAATGTCGAGCCGCATTAGTGTTCWTGTCCAATTCTTATCTCAATTGTAAATCATGTCAGTGTGAAAGCGCTGTACTTCTATGTCGTCAAGAGACTGAAAACACCGATACGTCTGATGATCGGGCTAAACCTGTCCGGTTGTTTTGCATCAATTACAATGTACCAAACCTTCCTCYTGCCTATAGATCCCTTGAGGACGTGGTCGACCTGACCTTGGACACTCTTGCTTTTGCAAGTGTGGCTGAAAAATCATCAGCTGTTGTCGGGGGATTTAGCGAAGAAATCGAGAAGTACGCASTGATGTACGGCACAGGGCTGCCAACCTTTGATGAAGATGAGGGTAATTATAGACAACGTAAAGTGTACAACTGGGACGTAAATGATGTACAAGACTGGCTTAATTCTATGAAAATYCACCAGAGATTTTGTTTGACATTTGAAGAAAACCAAATTGACGGTTTCTTACTGCTTTCATTGACTGATGATGATCTAGAAAACCACTTAATGGTTGACACGAGGGTTGTACGCAGAAAACTGCTTCAACAGTTGAATGGTATCCTTGAAAAGGAAAACAAAGCGCAAGACCGCTGGTACATGAAACTTCGCAAATTAAAAAYYAAAGAAGACTCCATTTATATCATATTTGACCCTACAGACGTGAGATTTGTGGAGCGACTAAAGACAGATCTCGTTAAAAAGAATTTTCAAGTAAGTCAACTAATTGGTGTGTATTGTCTTCTAAATAACAAACACACCCCACAATATTTACAGCTAAGTATTCGCTTAGCAACAGGCTTAAAGTCTTGTGCTTGATCGCCCATGTAGCACTTTATGCTAAGGGTTTTTTTAATAATAAAAATCTCTATATATATTATATCGAAGAAATTTCATGATTTTGAAGAAATCCGGAAGTTCTTTTCAGCAATAGATCTTTTACATGTAAGCTTCACGGATTTCGTGTCAACACGTGTTTACCTAAGTCGATTCAGATGGATTTTTGGTATAATTTGTAATACTGTAATTATTCTTCGTATCAATAGCGCCAGTGTAAAGGCCAATTGCTTCGATAACTCTATCAATGATAGGAAAAAGCGTATAATTGCCAGGTGTATATTCTTCAAAAAGGCTTTTAATGGAATATCTTTTTATTGATAAAACTTATCACAACAGGASGATAAGAAAGTACGGTAAATATATATTCTGATTTTCAGCTGTCACTTTACATAAACACCGAGGTGTATTGAATTGTTTTTCATACATCATTTTATCATATTTTTTGAGTGTCTTTTAAGAAATCTCAATCACATTATTTGCAAGTTCTTTTTTGTCTTTTTGGCTTTGTACATGTATGTGAAATCATATAAGATTATCTATAGTGTTTATTCATGTATTTTATTTATTTATTTATTTATTCCTTTATTTCCTTGTTTATTTCCTTAGTTTCTTTATTTGTTCATATGTCTGACTTACATTGATATATTTATTTATGTAATTGCTATTTTTTTGTTTTTATCACTTTGCTTTTTTTGGTCTTTTGTTCTTTGTTTCCTTTTTTTTTTTGGTTTTTGCCTTCTTATTCATTCATCTATTTGCCATTCATCCATTTCTTAAATCCCAGGTGCTCCATCATTTTACCTTCTTATTTATTCATCTATTTGCCATTCATCCATTTCTTAAATCCCAGGTGCTCCATCATTTTACCTTCTTATTTATTCATCCATTTGCCATTCATCCATTTCTTAAATCCCAGGTACTCCATCATTTTACCTTCTTATTCATTCATCTATTTATCATTCATTCATTTCTTTAATCCCAGGTACTCCATCATTTTACCTTCTTATTCATTCATCTATTTATCATTCATCCATTTCTTTAATCTCAGGTGTTTCATCATGACAGATTAGGCCAATCCAAAGAAGAGTTCTTGCAATTAAATGGCCATCACCTGGCTTCATCCAATCACATTATTTTACTCATGACACCAGATTCACCCAAGTCTTTGTTCGTTTATAATGAGTTACTTTTTGCAAGCTGGTTAAGCAAGCCCATACTAGTTGCCATGACAACAAACTCTTGGAATACCATGAGATTAAACATGCAAGCTCTTCTAGGAAATTGCTCTGCTGTGGATTTTGAAACAAAATCTTACAGTGAAAGCCTTGATGTTCTTTTGTATCATATCAAACCATTTAGACATATGCCAGCTGTTATCCTTGAGCAGGAGTTTCTAGATCGCATGCATAATGGCATTAAACCACTTCAAGTTATGGTCAATAATGTTGGTAAGTTTTGTTTGTAGTTTGAGGTTTGACCAGCTTCATCAATAAAATCCGTATCTCCGTGCTCAAGACCACATATTTCATCGATTTTATACAATTGACAATATTATGGGAACATTCAGCACTGTCATATGAAAGAACTATCGGAAATAGGTTTTCATGGAAAGCTTTCAGAACTTATCTTTAGCTTTGATAATTATAATACAAAGGTTTTCTTCTGTCAACATTRTGAATTTAATGATAATATGMTAATTAGTGTCGGCCATTATGAAAGTATAGTCAATTTGCTGTATTTATAGAAAATATAATCAATTGTGGGATTCAGAGGAAGGGTTGAGGCCCACAAGCACCTGTTATAACTGAGATCCAACAAATCATTATTCAATCCTTTAAACAGGGTTCAGTCTTGAAAAGCTTTGACAAATAGCTTTCGCCGAGACTTCAAAAAATCTTGTAACAGMCATAAACTTTACAAATGTAATCACTCCAACGTAACGATTTTCGTACGTACAGGCCAGGGACTACCAAGAATAGTGAAAACTAGTTTCGTTTATTAAAACCTCTTCAGTTCACTATATTTTACAACAGTTGGTAGTCCCTGGCCTGTACGTACGAAAATCGTTACGTTGGAGTGATTTACATTTGTAAAGTTTATGGCTGAGTCTTGAAAAGTCCTTGATTTTTTAGCTAGGTCCTTGAAAAGTCCTTGATTGAAAATTTTCCTTRAAAGTTCCTTTAAAGTGATAATTTAGTCCTTGAATCAGTATTGGTTGTTGAAAAGTAATGTTTTAAGGATCAATTTAACCAAGCTTTGAAGCAAAATAATATAAGAATTTGATCCTTTTTGCAAGACGTATTGTACTATTTGTCCAATATGGCGGYCAAAAAATTAATAGAGATCAAGGAAAATCTTCTCCAAAGGAGAAAGTTCTTAACAAATCAAAATATGTATGGTGAAAATATGACAAGGATTCCTTTGTCTGAGAAGATTTTCATCAGATCTGTCCTTGGATATAATAATTTGTTTATRTTTTACTTTTATTACTGTAGATTCAAATGTTAATGAGGTTTGCAACCCACCTCCTCGCCCAAAGGTATTTCTCAGCTACCACTGGGATGTCCAGTCCAAAGTTGAGAAGCTTGCACAGCAACTTGAAAGTCAAGGATTTGATTGTTGCATGGATGTTAACACAGTGTCTAGCCCTAGACGTCTCTCATCTCAAGACACACACACAGAAGTGAGCAATGACAACTTGCAGTCACAAATACTAAGGAACATGAAATCTTCTGGTGTYGTGATTTGTTGTATAACTCATAAGTATATTTGCTCTGAAAATTGTTCCAATGACTTGAACCTYGCCAAAACATTGTCCAAGCCAATWGTGCCTTTGATGTTTCAGTGGATGTCTTGGCCCCCAGACGGACTTGCTGTTAAAGTTCGTAAGATATTGGCGCCTTTGCATTTTGTAGATATGAGCAACGACAAACTCTTCAAGAAGAACCTAAGCGTTGTAGTTTCACACGCGAAAAAGCACCACAGCTCACCTAACTCGAGRGAAAGTAAGAAAACTGGGCAAACCAAATGGTAGTTGAATAAGAAAAACAACATATAGGTACATTAATCCGGGGGTATTCATTAATTTAACGCCCACAATACGCATTAAATGTGAGAAATAAACGAATATTTTTCTGAGCTGAGAAGTGTCTTGTCGTCTCCTAGCTAGCTGGGCTGTCTCTCTTCAAACTTTCCCGCCAATTTATGGATARCATCAAAGCGAGGCTGGCGTTCGCGCGCATTTGCTGTGAACGGTTTTACAAAGTGATGTGCGCGCGTGACGAAACATGAAAATTTCATTGTATCGTTATTTTTTATTCTAACCCTACAGTATACAACAAAKGAGCTAGTTTTTCTACAACATGCCTCTAATACCACTAGTTTTACGAAACTCCCTAAGACATGAAGTTGATGGTGGATGGGCTTGGGTCGTCGTTGCAGCTTCTTTTATGATTCAAACAATTTTGTTTGGGATAATTCAGTCGTATGGAACCATGTTCGTTGCCCTTTTGGATGATTTCAAGTCTGGTGAATATGAAACTGGTGAGTGTTTTTCACATGAATTAATTAACATSTTTAAGCGTATAACATTTAAGTTAACATAAGCTATTAAATTCGTATACCATTCCAGTCTCCTAGCATATGAAACACCTTTCAGCTTATATATTAAGTTATTTGGGGGAGAGTAAAATAAATTTCTTGTTGAAAAATTAATAATTGCTTCCGATCCAATGAATATAAGAATCTTAAGATTCAGGGGATACACTGACTGCATAAATGTCTGACTGTTTCAAAATGACAGTAGGCCCCTCACATGATACACGATTTAATGTAATAATGAGTAAACCTGGGGCGGGTTGTTCAATGCTGCGCTCGATAAGCACTATGGTTCAACTCTTACAAACCTTTAAAGAGATAACCCTGGATTAATACTAAACCCAACCCAGTAGAGAGCTATATATTTCTAAGCAAAATAATTGGGATGAAAGACAACACTCTTTAAAAAACACAACGCATGTTTGTCAATCTCTGCTGCAGTTTTAAGTGAATGAAATAACATTCTAAAATGTGAATTCTCAGATCAAATTGTCAATTATTAGCCCTACCCTGGGGATCGCTGTGTCAATAAAAGTCTAAAAGCCCCTGTCAGGGGCTAGGTTCGTATGTCAATAGCCCGTGTGAGCCCTGCCGGGCTCCCCCCGTTGGGGCAAGACATTGATAAGTGCATAACAAGTACCTAACTTCCTAGAATTATGAGGTAGTTCTATAACATATGTCTGGATAATAGTTTTTTTCAAATGTTTCAGCTTGGATCGGATCGATGGGCTATGGTCTCACATTTTTTATTGGCCCAATCTACGCAGCTTTATCTGAACATTTTGGCTGTCGGAAGATGGTGTACTGTGGTACTTTGATATGCATGGTATCRTGYTTTAGTTCATCATTTGCACCAAACCTGTCMACATTGTACTTTACATTTGGTATACTATGGGGCATTGGAGCWGGCATGACGTTTTTCCCGTGCCTATTGGTTTTGAACTTCTATTTTTCAAACMGGATCTCGTTGGCTAATGGTATTACTATGGCAGGATCAGCTATTGGTACTCTAATTTTCAATGCCTCGTTAAACAGGATTCTAGAACTATATGGTTGGAGGGTCGGATTTCGACTGTTTGGTGGGGTTTGCGCATTAATGTTTGTATGTGGAACGGCCTACCTCCCTCCGCCTCAAGACTTCTACGCTATCCAGGAATGGGAGCAATATCAAAAAGTGAGTGTAGTAATAGACTATATCCAAATTGCGCAAGTGCTTTTGAATGATCGCAGGTGCGCGCATGAAGACTTTAGGTACACCTTTCAGTGTGCTATGGAAAACCAGAAGGAAATCTCTAGTGTGCTAGCAGTTGTTGTTTTTTTTTTGTTTGTTTGTTTTTGTTTTGTTTTGGTGCCTCACGGGAACTTGTGAACTCAGCAGCTAACATCGCGCAGAGCCTTCTTTAAATGAAAACCAACAGACAGACATAGATATGAATCTTTGAATGAATCATAAATCTTTTTTTTTTTTTTTTTGCTTGATTACGAAAAACACGACCAGAAATGGAAAATGTATACACGTGCTAACGTCAGCGGATACTACATTTAGGTCGTACTTTYTCTGGTTGGTAGGTCGGTAGTTGCAGAATGGTAATGACAAGAAGGCTAAAAGGTTGCGTTTTTCTTTTTTTCTCTCTTTTCTCGCTCTCCTCGTATTCTTACTTGCGCAGAATACCCAAAGATAGAATACACTTAAATCTAGTCTGTTCCGAGCATTTCCGTACCAGCGATTTACATTCCACAATGTTGTTTATGCATCGTGCCTCTATAATGTTTGAGCATTGATTATATTTAGGTAAAATTAACAACTAAGCTGGCTCGTATCTTTGACATTCGTCCATGGAAAGAAAAGGCATTTGTAGTGTGGTTAATTGGTGTATCATTCGTTTTATTTGGATACTTTATACCTTATGTTCATTTGGTAAGTACCCTCTGAGCATTAATTCAGCTTCATTTGTATGAGGACCGTCTGTGAGCGAGTCATTACTTTGAGTATAGCGACAGGTTTTGAAAGAAAGAGATTTTATCCCCTTTCTTAAGATTTCTCAACGATGGTTTGATAGCGCTAACTGGCGGTAAATCCCTCCAGAGACATGGTCCTCGCTCTGTCTAAATATCCAATTATTTTGATTTTCCGTGAATTATTGCTGCTGATTTAGGCTGAGTCGAGATTAAAACAGCCATAAAAGAAATCAGGGACGTGCGCAGGGGTTTCAGGTGGGGGGTCCCATACTGTTTAACCATTCAAAAGATTGCTACCGTATTGATTTGGCAAGTTACGCCTCATATTTCAAAGGCATTGTCTGCCAAGGAAGGAGATAGAGAGGGGGGTGAGGGTAGTCCGGTCCTTTAATGCAAAGCCTTTGCAGCCTCTTTCTCTGGCTACTTGCATGTAAATCGTCACTGAACCAAACTGATCCATACTTCATATTTGTATGTAGTCATTTCATTTTTTTCTTGGAATTTGATGGCCTAAATTGTTTTATAGGTTCGCTTTGGAGAGACCCTCAACGTTCCTTTATCCCAAAGCACTCTTCTGGTTGGATACATGTCCATATCGCAGATCTTTGCTAARCTTATTTGTGGAAAACTTGCCGACATGAGGAGGGTGAAACGACTGCAAATTTTAATCATATCTATCTTGTCCTTTTCTATTTGCAACTTTGCAGTAACATCAGCGACAGATTTCACTGGTCTATTGACTTACGCCTTGTTCTATGGTTTCTTCGATGGTTTGTTTGTTGTTGTGCTACCTATTCTTATTCGTGATTTAGTTGGACGGGAATTAATGGCGAATGCWATAGGAAATTTTTACGGAGTGGTTTCAATACCACTGACTGCCGGACCACCTATCTCTGGTAARTACCAATATGGTCAAAATGCAAGAGTTTTTTTATGATTACAATACAATTTTACAAAATAAGCTTGAAAAMGTAATATTTCTTTCTAGGCCAACTTTATGACGYATTTGGTTCTTACAAGGCTCCCTTTTCAGTCGCCGGTGGATTAATGCTTATTGCAAGTTTTATGATGTACTTTGTGTATCGCTTGAAACCAGAATTGTTAAAGGATTTACCCTTGGAAGGAGAGGATACCTTCACTAGCGATTTGATCGCTCGACCAAGTATCCATTCTCATACCGTCGACGCCCTAAGTGGCATGTTTCTCACTGAACGATTTTCTACCATTGACAGTGTCGACAGACCAAGTCAACTTACTATCAACCCTTTACATAACTTTGCAAGTGTTTTAACCAGAAGTAGAGCGGGATCCACCATCAGTGGACGGACAGGTCAGAGATTCCCCTCCTTTTCGATTGACATGAGAAGTGATGGAGGCTCTGAAATATTTCTTCAGCGACTGCGAGGATATGGAGATGGCGCCAGTGTGGTATCGTCTGCACATGGAAAAGATTTGACTGGTTCCACAAGTACTGCCCCTTCTGACGATATATTGAGTTCTACTAAAGACAGCTCCCTAGACCGCGTTAGCCATGGGAACGTAGCTTTTGCTTCCTCTSTTAATAAAATGTCAACAGCTACTCTGGCGAATGAATCGAATACTGATGTGACACCTTCATCCTGCTATAACGAGGTTGGGAATTTGGCGGAGATCAACCATAGTATGGACAAATGTATGGTACGTATAGTAGAACCTGGAGAAGATAGCAGTCCAGAAAAGATTCAACACGAGCAAACAGAAAATATAACGAGTAGTGGAATGGAAGAAGAAGAGGACAGCKCCAAACAAGATAATCTAGCCCGCAACTTGGAAGATGACAAGATTGATACCTCACTAGAATTGATTCAAATAAGTGCCAGCGAAGAATTGAACAGCGGTTCGACTATTCTAGATACAAACATGAAGGGTTTAACTCAAATATCGGAAGTCGCACAAATAGATGATTTGAGTCCAGATATCGATATTTYAGCAGATCGWACTAGTTCACCAATACCCAAGTCGTTTGAAAGTGGTCCAACATCTCCTTTAATAACTCTGGGCATCGATGAGAGCTTCACAGAGGAAGCAGATATTACTTTAGTCCCCGCCGATAACATCGACAATGAAACTACAACAGAAACAATTGTACCAGATGATATTGAAAGATCAACAGACGAAAGCTGTGRAGACGAGGTCTTGATCAGAATCCCCCCTCCACCGACATGGAATCGAGAAGTACCACTTGTTGATCTAACTGAAGACGGAGAAACTGAAGAATTGGCATCGCGGTCTTCATCTACTGATGTTCARAGCTCTACCGATTTTCTTTGTCTGAATGAAAGATTAAAGATCATGGCTGAACAGCAAAAACGAGAAGGAGAATTAAGGATGAGATTTCCAACAGATGAGATGACACTRTTTGCGACCTACCGAAGCAACATTGCTACGCCTTCTGAGCAGCAATCGACCCCAGTTTTTGAAACCATTCCACAAACACCTGCACCGTCAGAAAACCAAAGCCCACCCAAGACACCATCACAAGTAAATGTTCCATTGGAAGCCTTAACGTTGCAGCATAATGGCATGCCATTGCACATTATTCCATGCCCTGTAAATGAGAACGGTATGGATACACATCATCAATTGAGTGATGACATTCTTGAACCTTGTGCCATACCACCTTCTGATYATCTAATTTCAAAGCAATTCGCGCAGTTCCTTCCTGGTGAAAATATAGAACAAAAAGTGCAGCAAAATTCATCAAGTATACCTGAAGCTCAGAACAGTTCCCAGAGAGAGCCTTTTCTGTCTATTGGAAATGCACATAGGGACAGTAGTCAATCGGATTCTCATGTCATAGAACAACAGACTGTAAATATGCAAGTYATTTCAAGAGACAGTCAATACATGAGTCAGCAGCGTACAATGGAGAACAACATCATGCATCAACAAACACAATCCTCTTCTGAACATCATACTTTGTTCACAGAGAGAGATACAGCACCTATTGCCGCGAAAAGTCAATTTGAAGACGAATCTACAACACATCAATTTACAACACAATTGTACGAGAATGAAAACATTGAACAATTGCAATCAACGCAGACATATCCTCAAGTAAAGTGCMCAGCTACTGACARTGCAAATATCAATGACCTCCTACTGATTGACATGACATCTAGTTCAACAAACAATCTAGGAGAATATGCCACAAATCCATTCCTYCAGGAAATGAATAATTGCAATTATAGTACATTACAACATCACACCTCTGCAGATCAGATGGCAAAGCTTATATCTACAGACAACCTAAGTAATAACASGCCACATACGCCGCCTAGCGCTACGGAGAAACATCAACACCAAAGGATTGTGAATGATAATATACTATCTCAGACCACTCCAGAAGTTAAGGAACTTRAATCTGCGTCCACAGATGATGAAAGCAAAGATACATGTTTACAGATCATATTGACTCCGACGATAGTTGATGAGGATCCCAGAGACGACATGATCCAACTAAAGGATACGTACACTACTGAGTTAGAATTAACAAGTGCATCCAMAACAACCAACAATGATCTGATAGACATGACATSTGYTTTCCCGGATAGTAAGCCTGAGGAAGAATGGACATCAAATCAAAACACYGTACRCTCAACTCATCTCTGCCCTGAGTTAGAAATGACGCTTGGCTCCACAAGCTTTAAAGATATCAATGATCTTTTAAAGATCACAACAACATCTGATTCTACTGACAACCAACTTTTTGAGGAWYCTACTCTCAGTCCATTACTGCAGGAAAGTCATCCCAGTGATAGAACGGACGAATCGGCTCAAGAGTGTGTTCCAGCATCGTGCAAATCTGATTCCAAAATAAAGAAAGGCATCATTCAAACCGCCGTTTTCGAGAACAATGCACCTCCAGGAGAATGCATTRRAAATGTTTTCCTCAATACAAACAATGATTGTAACAGCGCTTTGCCTATGCATCTTTCCACTTCTGCAGTTGAAAAAGCCGATGATTACGTCTCTRCAAACATGCAAAGTACATCACCTAACTCTATGGATACAGAAAATAAAGAAGACTGTGGCATAAGGTTTCTGAATGACACCAGCTCATCCATTGACAATTACAGAAACGATACCATACAGACCAACCTTGTGATTGCTAGTGCGGACAAAAACAATGAAGAAGCCTGTATTCAAAGATTTAACGCTGATAACATGCAACGAGCGACRAGRTTCCATGAGCAACAACACGCATATGTATCTACTGGCGGAAAAACCCATGATGATGCAGACATGAAAATTACTTCTGCATGTGATTCGGCAGATTTCAATTTCGCAGTAGAACGAAATACAAATCCATTCTTAAAGGAGACAATTGGAGGTGATAGGATTATACAACTAAGCCAGACACATCCCGAAACTAAAGTATCCACAKGTTCTACTGTTTCCCCGTTCAATTCTAGTCATGTCTTGCATCCTAATGTAAGCGGCAAAGAAGACTGTAGTACGAATTCATCGCAACAAAAAGCGTTTGTAGGTGACAGCAGCACAAAACCACCTGAAATCAAAACAAGCGCTGAGGTAGCAACACTGGTGTCTACAGATAATTCATGCRAAGATACACTATTACARATCAGCTTAGACCMTAATGATGGGAAAATAAAGTATGAAGAAGATCTAACAGCAACATCTCTACAACAAAGGTTTGATAACATTCAACAACTAGAAACGCTATGCCTTTTCTCAGAAAATGTGAAAAAGTGCAATGACTGCACCGGTACAACTTACACTTCCGCGGACAGCAAGTCAGAGGAATATGTTGAGACAAATCCATTTTTGGAGAAAAGGATTGATGACGAACAATCGCGTCATACAACCCCTCCTGAAGCTACATCGGATGTACAAGCTACATATGCACCCAATACAAACAATGATGACTTAAAACGCATAAGTACAACATGCGCTTCAGTGAGTCAGTTTGGTCGATGCACAAATCTAGTTATATCACACTTTAATGAGAAGGACAAAACTAAGCATCTTTGCACTGAAGTACTAATTTGCAAAGAAAGATGTTCATCTTCAGACAGCATACCAAATAACTATGTTATTGCCCCCACTGGTTCAGGAAATGGATTGAATGATAAATGTACCATACCATTCCCAAAGCAAAGTTCCAATAACACGGACAATCCTGAATTGCAAGCTACGTGTATAYCTGGCGAAATAACTTCAAATGAAAAGAACATCCAAAAAATAGAAGAAACTCCATCCTCCACGGAGACTATAAGAAATCCTTTCATGCAGGATCAAGGTACAAACGCTGAATATCTAGACTATKGTGTTTGGGCRGTAAAGGGAAGTTTAGACAGCGAAAGTGTAGTAACCAACGAGAGAAAAGATAYTGGCGGAAGCCGTAATCCATTTGTATCCGAAGGCGCCTGTCTCCAAGATAATCAAGAACARAGTTTTTTGATTCCATCACGTCCAGATATGATTGAMAGCAACTATAAGAGCAGTGCCATCAGTGTTCCTATAACTCTAGATCGACAAGTCTATAGGAGAAAATCTGTTGTGATTGACGACAATTCCGACTGTGATAAAAGCAATAGCAATAGTTTAGTGAATGTGTTTGAATTGGAACTTGATGAACATGACAAAGGAAACACAGATAAGACTGGTAGGAACCAGGATAGAGAAAAAAGTCAGAAGTTTAATGAAGAAACGAGTGATAACATGGAATGACAACAGATCAAATATTTCAAAATCCTCAGATCAATAAGACATACATAWATACGATTAGTACATAAAAACGTTTATTTCAGTAATATTTGATATTTCTTTCATTAAATTTTCTTGGATACTTTTTAATGCACAGATTTTTATATTCATTTTATTTTACGAATTTTCATCTTAAATATTAATTTACTATTAATAAAATATTATTGTATTTCATTTTAAAATGATTTTAAAATACGATTTCAAATTTATAAATAATGATGCATGTGTAATTTATGTATGCTATAAAAAACTCTTGAAAACTGACCCCTTGTGTCTCAACTTTATGTTTTTAATTTTTATACAAAATATTGAATGGAATGCTAAGAGAGAATGAGACAAAGAATACCATTAAACCCAATTCGTGAGGCGATGTGGATCCCAAATGCAACTTCTTGGACAACCAGACAAACTTATAAAGTCAGAACAAAAGCGACAGTTTAAGATATCAGTTTGACCTGTAGACGGACAAGAGCATCCTGCTGTGAGCTGTTTAGCAATGGCCTCTTTTTCCTTATCAGAAGAATGATGCCTAGCTTCGGGTGTTTTGTCCTTGTGTTCAAAGAGATAAATGGGTACAAGAAACATCACACATATTCCAATGGTCGACAATCCTCCAGCTACAAAAAAAGCTACGTTGTATTGTCCAGAAACGTCGTATATCAAACCTAATTAAAAAAGTTCCAAGAAAAATGTTAGGTCATTAATTTTATGGACAACTACTAGTATAAAAATAGTAGTATTTTAGTTCTACCAATCACAAAATAGAATTACTTTTATACAGCTAACCCAACGGACCTGTCATKTTAATTACCTGCGAGYGGAGTTCCAATAGCCTGTACTAATGCAACGACACAACAAACGTTTCCAAAAGCACGTGGCATGTCCTTCTCTCCAACAATCAAATGTATTCCCATGCTAAACATGACCGCAAAGCACCCATCGCAAATTCCAAACACTACAACAAATACCACTAAGAAGGCGTAGTTCATAGCCAGAGGACACAGTGTTATATTAACTGCATTCAACAGAGCAAATATCTGAAGAATTCTAATTCGCGAAGTCGCCTCGATGTCCCCAATTTGTCCAAATACCACTTTAGAAATTGCTTGAGTGATAGCTAGGTAACCAATCAGAAGAGAGCTTTCAGATCGAGGCACTCCAATGTTATCCGCTATTCGGACCTGCAAAGGAGCGGAGATGTGTAATGTAATTCTTGTTTTTCGCCCACGATTTTACGCTTTGATATAGGATTTAGTTAGGCACTTTTAAAGGACGCTTTAAAGAAAAAGGGATTTTTTTAAATATAGATGAAAGATGCTTTCCCATAGTACCATAGCATTATTTCTGACACATATTTTCATAGGTGAAAAACATCAAATTACCAACTACACTAATATTTGATTACAAACCTAAACTAGTTATTGACAATAATTCAAGCAAGAATTGCTTTAAATAGACTAAAAAAGTTGTTACTCAAAACGATTTATACGAAGAGAGAAAAAGGACGGAGAAACACATGGGACAACTTTTTTTTCGTTTATAAACATCTTGGTTCAAACACTTACCATAAACACAAATGGAACCAAAATTCCAGACAAAATTAGACTCAAGGATAGTGTCCACGTGCGCAAAGCTTTGCTTTTGGCGAACATTTTGTAATCAAACAAAAGTTCCAAAAGCTGAGKTATATGCAATTTATGGCGTTTGTACCAGGGCGGGATGTGRTGTTCTTGATGGACAATCACCGTTTCTTTCTGTTTTCTTTCTTTTGTTTTCTTGTCAGCTCTTGTAAAGAATATCAMACCGCAGCAAAACAAGATTGGACCCGCCGCTGATAATATCCGAACCGAGTTCCGCCATCCAGAAATGGTGATAATAAAGTTGTATAGTTTCGATATCACGGGCACTCCAAATCCTGCCCCTGACATTGATATCCCATATGCTAGGGATAACCTCTTTTTAAAGTGTACATTCAAAATACACAAAGAGCTGTAAAAACACATGCTTGTACCAATACCTAGCCCTAAACCATACGTCAAAAATAGGAATCGTATATCTTCCATGTAAGAAGAGCTGAACAGCCCAATCGCCGTAAGAATGGAYCCTCCAAATGTCATGRAACGGCATCCGAATGTATSGCATAGTGAAGTCATGATAGGACCCAGGAAGTACATCAGTGTAAAAGACAAAGTTCCAACCCAAGCTATTGACAAYATAAAGAAAAATAAACATCAATCATTTACGTTGTAAACTACACATTCAATTTGAAGTTCAAACAAGGGATTCTTGTCCATGAAGGAGAAATACCCAATAATAAGAAATATTGGATGATCCAGAAATAGTAATGATAGACAGGCGAACACTGYTTATGGTTTTAGTCCTCCAACATTTTTATTGCTTGGTAATCATTAAATCGATGAAAATTATTATTATCAAGTCTATTCATATSCATTGAATAGCGTAAATTATGCTARTATTYCTCAACGCTATTGATATACCACAGCGGATAAATAATATGAGGAGAGCAGAATGTACATGATATGGTCTCTCGTGTTTAGTAGCAACCTTTGAACTCAGTCTCTTATGGACTTGATGCTGGAATATGGAAATGTACTTTAAAACCAACTCGAATATTCAAATATTCTGTGTTATTTCAATTACGATCGCGAAAGCCTTGTGTATAAATATCGTTCGATAAGAAAAATAAATAAGGAAAATGTTATTGTTAACTGTTCTTTGCTGCGGACGTGATCATGTCGTAATCACTGGGATATATTTTGCTCCGCACGACACGCAACTCTAGTTCTATAAAATGTTTACCTGTGGCCAATTCACTGCTATTGAATTCTTCCCTGAGAGATACAAATAATATTCCATACGAATTTTGAATCCCAAAAACTACGAATTGAACGGTGAAAGAAGCCATGCAAACGGCCCATCGATTGATCTGTTTCATCTTCAAACCACTACTTCKGTGACCATGTTGAGCTGCCACTTGATATATCTGTAGTGAGGTGATCAAAACAGTAACACCTCGCTATAGTCTAACCAATGGAGACCTTACAGTGATTTTAATAACTGATATTTCAACTCCTGATATTTAATCAGACTCGTTTCGTTTCTTCGCCATGCTCAGTGATTTTGTTATCAATTAGTTCTATAACGRAACGAGAGTTTGTTTTTTTGTAAAACATGCCAACTGCAGGTCGTTGACACCAGGGTTTCAAACTAGGAGCCAACAACCAGTCAACGTAGTGTCTTAGGTCAGAGGAAGAAAGCCGTATTTGCTATAGGCAGGAACATATTTGGATTGGGCCGCGGTTTTTGAACTTTGGACGGRCAAATGAAGTGTGGAATGGCACTTCCGATTGCTCTTACAGATGTGTTTTTGACGAACGAAGGGATGGTTCTTGTGTTTTGGTGGTCCGGTGGCTACCCCTCGATACAGCTTGTGACTGAGCGTAAAAACCCGTTGTTTACACTTGCAAGTTTTGCAGTGTGATCTTTTTAGAGAACGCTTCGGAGAGAGTTTTAGAGTGACTATTACCAGCTCCTAACAGATAAGGATTTCMATGGAAAGCAAGTCATTTTGTAACGCAGCTTAAACGAAACGACCAACATGGACAGTTTACTCGCTCGTTAGTGCTTTCCAACCTTTAGCGACCAACATTTATCCATTATAGATTTTAAACCGATTTCTTTTATGTTTCTTTTAGATAAAACGCGCGCTCTCATTGGCTGATGACCTTGTTTTAAATAGTATAATTTTACAGTACATGATTAAAATACACAATAATAAAATAAAAAACAACAACTTAGAACACGAAATACCTGTTGTTGTTTTTTACAATTGTTCTTAAAATGGATGGTAGGTCACATTTTCAATATTATAATGTATAGAGGTCTGTATATAGTGATGCATTGTGCCCTTTCTACAGCGCGTGATTACTTAACAGTAGAGACCCTTAAGATATACCATTTCGGTCTTGTACGGGTTTGTACAAAAAACGTCAATCGTCTCCCAAATATATTATTGTAATAATGCATCATCATCTGTTTACCTAGCGTGACCCGTCAGTTCCAGTGTAAAGTAGTTTACCCGTGCGGGTGCGGGTAGGTTGGTCGTTGACATGTCGACTTAAAATAAAGGCACTCGTTTGCATCAACTGCCAGAGTGCTTTGCGTATTTGTGTCCTTTCTACGTAGAAAAACACTCACGATGCTCTGTGTTCCTATAATAATCTTGTTTCTCATGCATTGTGCTCTCTCCCACCATGTTTATAATAATAGAATAGTGACAAAAGCAGCAGTTTTATTTTATTTCTTTTATCATTTTTTGTTGCTGTTGTTTTCGTGCGCACGAGCTGCAAACCATGGTTGCTTCTGTTCACTATTTTCAGAGTTTTTGAGAGGTACCAACTTATACGTACCAAAATGACCACAGTGCACGCTACGCCCTAAGCTAGACTAAACGTAATTTCATAACATATAATGATAACAGAAAGTAAATAAGTAATTAAAAATAAAGTATTTTATTGAAGATCTATTTTTTCCATAAGTATGCGTGTCTATCCGAGCTAGGGCACGTTTTCACCCACAAACGTTCATGTACAAACGTTCTTTACGTATACAAACGCTAAATCTACACAAATAAAATATTAGAACATCTATACGATGGTTTCGCGAATGTGCTGGGAAAAATACATCGGTTCATGCTTCGCGGATTGAATGTCAATCTCTACATTGGAATTTGCTTTACTGGTAAGATCAAACTCAGTCTCTAATGCCCTTTCCATTAGATCACTAAAGATATCATCACTAAATGAGCAATAAAAATTGTTTAAATCKTTTTTCAACGGCASAAGTTGCTCTTCAGTTAAAATTTCCGTTGAAACGGAATGTTTGACTTCGCATGTTGGTKCGTCTACTTCAAAATCACTATCCGCTGTAGAAGTCCTTGATCTTGAAGCTAAACTTTCATTTCCGTCATACAAAGTAGATCTGCCAGAATCAGAGTTCAAGCTTTCCTCTCTTTCTCGATGAACAAACGAAGAACGATCGCTGAAAATGCTTAATCGGTCTTCCGCGTCAGTTTGTCGCTGTTGATCATATTGTTCTTTTAATCTATAAGTCACTTCAGATCCTGTGCCCATGTCGGCAACTCTGATAAAGTTCTCTACGTCAATGTGGACATCAGTATCTTCATTCCATTCCATGTCTTCTAAGACTCGAGATATGATTAGACTAGAAGGCCTGCTATAAAGTTCTGTAGAGCTCCGTCTACATACGGGCATGAGATATTGTCTGTCCATATTATCTGTTACACCTGTTATATTACTTGACCCTCTTTCTGACAATGATATTTTTATTTCTGGAGATCTTTTATCTTTTGATCTTCCTCGAATAAGTCTTTGAACTACTAACATCAAACCAATTCCGAAAATTATTGTCGATCCAGCGAGAAGAAATGCTGCATCGTAGCTTCCATATTGGTCATATATGACTCCTGAAAGAGAACAATCAKTGACAGATTATATGGTGCTAGACTAAGGGACTATATACTCTTGGTACGAAATACTACATATGTACATTTGATATACAGTGCCGGGCAGATCTCGCTCATAAAAGGACGGACTATAATTTACCAATAAAAGGCTAAATATGTAAATATGCGTACCTGCAATAGGAGGTCCTAGTATTAGAGGGATCGATATCAGTCCGTAAAGRCTACCGAACGCCCGAGGCATCATCGCTTTTCCAACGATAAGTTCTGTTCCCATTCCAACCATAACGGACCAGCATCCATCACAAAAACCGAAGACTACGACGTAAATAACGAGCACTATGTAACCGTACTTTGAAGCTAAAGGACAAAGCATCGTTACAATTGCTTGAAGAAGCAAGATGACTTGAAGAATGCTGATTCTCCTCTCCCTTGCGAAGTCACCAAGTCTTCCAAACAGGATCTTGCAAACTGTCTGGGTGATAGCGAGGTAGGCTATGAGGAGTGTACTGTTGGTAGATGAAACACCAATGTCTTTGGCCATGCGAATCTAAAACGAGAACAAAATTGCAATTAGATTTCATGGTAAATAAATAATTTCCCACTGGGAAAAGATTTGGAATGATTTTCAAATGAAACAGTTGCCGATGAACGATTTGACTGATGTATTCCGACCACTCGATGATAGCGAAATGAACGCGTACGAAATATAAGCTATGGTTGTTTTGAGGGTGGCGTCTTGCCATGCAGCGATACTCACACATCATACTCACGGAACGATTCCGTTGGGCCACGGCAACACAGCAGCAAGCTGCATGGTTGGAGGGAACTAAGAAACAGCAATAGAAAGATAGACAAAAAATACAGGCAGTTATATCCCACTGAACTTGTCAGTTTACAAAAGAGCAGCCATGAAGAATACACGTCGAACATTTCTGAACGACGCAAAAGAGTACACCTGCTTTCAAAATTACACGACCATGCATTACAATGACACGACCAATACGCGTCCTTTCGAGAAAAACGTTGTCTTTACGACTAGTGCGTATATATCAGTACACTTCCTGACGTCGTCGCRCAAATTAAAGAATCGGTTTATTTTTAGTTACTTGTAGCATCAAAAAGGATGGAAGACAGAAAGTATGTTTGACGTATGCGTGGTTGTCACACGAAAATCGAATATAGAATATTTACAAATCAATACGTTCGAATATGCGCCATTCCAAGATTAACATTATCTTTACTAAAACGCGTTAATGTTCGTATACTTCTTGAGACTGTTGCTTCACATCTGTCAATTGGCTTATTTTTGATAATTACGAACTTCAACATAATAAAACGTGACCGAAGCATAGCTAGAGCACAAAATTCATCTTTTAGTTATTTACGAATAAATACAGGTGATTTGCGCGTTGTTACGATATATACGCAGCTATAACGCATTCGCATTTTTGTTCGTATATATTTTAAGACCTTTAYGCACAAAAACGCTGGGCGTAAAAAGCGTAAATGCCTCTTTTCATGCTGTGCAAGGGCAATCTCCTCTACCAGTCCACATGCAAATTCCTTGAATCATCGATGTCCGTGAAGCAGGATATTGAAGGAAATTACTTTGCGATTGATTGACATCTGCCACGACTATACCTTCCAATACAGTGAGCAATGGTCGTGTAACATTTGAAAGTAGGTGCAAAGTTTTTGACACTTACCACAAATACAAAGGGTATAAAATACCCAAATATACAAAACCCTAACGCAACAACCCATACCGCGAAAGCACGGTCCTTGAACGGTTCGGGATCGAATATGCGCACCAGATTCCGCAACAGTAAGTATGCTCTTGARGTCACTCTCAGTTTTTCTTTACATGGTTTCACGGCGTTAGACTGATTTGCTGACTTGCTGGGGCTGATAGGAAGGTAAGTCAGGCCGCCAATGAATACGGTGACGACTACTGCTGCGGTAAACTGAAACGTAACACGCCATCCCCATCTTTTGATCAAGTATTCTAGAAACACAATCATCACGGGGGTTCCTGCACCTGAGCCAGCCAGCGTTATCCCATAAGCAAGAGACAAACGCTTCTTGAAGTATGACGTCAGCCCAGCAATAGAAGCAAAATAGCTAAAACTTGCGCCCAGCCCAAAAATGACGCCGTAAGTCAAATAGAGYAATGGAAACGACCTGACAAATGACGTTARCATCAGTCCAGAGAACGACATGACTGCTCCAAGGCATGTGATAGGTCGACTACCCCATCGAGAACACAGTGCAGTCGCTAGCGGTCCATTCATGAATGTCAATCCAAACGATACTGAACCAATCCAGGCTAAATTTAAAAACAAACATCTCTTTAGTATTAATTTGGTTTATATTACAATTTATAGTTTAATTACAACATTATCTTCCACTCTTACTGAGTCAACCCGCGTTACATCTGTTACATAGTGACCGCTGCGCGTGTGCTTAAAAAATGAATTCTTGTTGTTGAATAATAAAAACAACCTTGGTCATTTGTTTTTCGAAACATTGAACCAGCAGTTTCAGCGGGMAACTAACGCAGCATAATGCCTTATGATCAACTACCCTACTTTTTAAATAGAAAATTTTAATTTTCTGCTATAAAGAAGCTAGGGGCGATCCATTAGACTTTTGAGAGGGTGTGGACGGAAGATTTAGCAAAAAAAATTCCTGCATGGTAAAATTTTGAAAAATCTCCACTAAAGCTTTTKTGAATATCTTCCATTCCCCCCTCAAAARTCTAAATGGATCGCACCTTATTTTATATTTCCTGCGCAAAGCTGTAAACATGCAGCTTGCTTGCTCAGTTTTCCGTTAAAAAAAGCATGTGGCCGTTAAAGTTCAATCAACTTCCGGTGCCACGAAGTTCTGCAATCGGCGCGACTATTTATTTCAACATTAAGTTTCCGAGTGTTTTTTCAAGACATGAATTGTCACAAGCCTATCCGGAATCATGACCTATAAAGTTTTCATATGTTTGTATGCCTACTAAGAAAAAAAAAAGAAACAGGACAAAAAGAAAAAATATTGCAGCACTGAACAAACCCGATTGATCGAAAAAAATAGGAAATTGGCAAAAAAGTTATAAAATTTGTGATTGGACTTTACTGGTAACTTTTGTCTTTAGTTCACGTTAGTTGTCAACTTTTTATAATGCACTGGACTCTTGACGTTTGAGCTAGTGTTGCGGCGGAAAATGTGAATGGGATTTCCATCTAGACTAACATTTTTATAGTGCCTAAATAAAATATCTTCCTTCGACAGGTATGCGATTGCGGTAAAGGTGTCAGTAATAAATCTCCGGGAGTAACTTTCATGTTATGACCCACAGAATGCTTTAATTAACCTGTTCAAACTCGTCAGATTAAAAAATTGTACGAGAAAAAATCTGTAGATGGCGATCTAATAAACCCTGATAAAAAGGAAATAAAATAGAAAATCGAKTAGTGTATTCCTTGTATTATTTCCGTTCAAAAATAATTATTTTTCCATTGAATTCGACTTTTCAGTGTATTTAGGATCTATAATCAGTCAGGTGGCCACAAATAACAATTATTGACTAGAAAGACATCGTCAGTGAGTTTCCCTAGTATAAAGGCAAAACACAACGCTTAAGATATATATAGACACACATCAAGACACAAGAAATTTTCTTATGCAAATTCAAGTTAGATCGAGCTTTCATAGTTGGTTAGACGGACCGCTGCTATTATAAAATACATACCAGTCGATGACTCTCCGTGCTTGAATTCCTTTAAAAATTCGATGAAAAAGGCTCCAAATGAGTTTTGAATTCCAAGTACAACAAACTGGATTAAAAATGAAGCAAAGCAAACAACCCAAGACCATTTTGAGTCGACATCGCGACCGTCAAGAACCTTAGACTTGGACTTTTTCATGTGGAGACCGACCGACGGACGACAGACCGCACAGTCACTTATTATATGGTGGCAGAATAAAAACACTGTGCAAAGATCGCTTAGAAATCACCGTTCAAACAGCGATGGGCAAAGAAATGAGATTTATTTTTTTTTCACAAGCATTTTGTATTAGTTGAAAACATGTTTACATCTAGATTTTCAGGTAAATAACGAGTTTCAAACCTGTTTTGTCATTCAATGGTGACTTTGCTATGGTAATTTCCGATATTCTGCACCCTGTTGCACGGAAAGCTAGTTTGTACCGTAAATTTTGTGAATAACCCTTTACAAGCTAGATGAAAAAAAAWTTCACAATTCTTTATATTACACTTTAGTCGTTCTTCTAATAAGAAATGATAAAATTAGCTTTAAGTTATACATTTTTATTTGAACTTGTTTGGGTGCCAAACTCATGAATAAAGATGAACAAATTCAGCTTGTTTTGAAACAAGAAATTCAGAAATGTCAGTATGTGCAGGGTTCAGCGCAATTAAAAATTTCCAGTGAATTAACGCCACATTTAATTGYATCTCGCATGTTCACACTAGCAAAAAATAATCAATATCAACACATCAAAATTCAGAAAATAAACTTATCAGCGACAAACAAAACGTACACAATTTGAATTGTTTATTATTGACAACTTCCTACATGTAATTCAGTTTTCAGTTAATATTTACACAAAAGATATAAAAAATACAGAGTATACTAGTACGGTTAATAAATATATAGGAAGATATTTTTTACAAGGCAATATGTTTTTAGAGAAAAAAGGTTTTTAATATTACTAAATGCTCAGTATTTTAGTTCTATTAACCAAATATACCCACCAGGTTGACAATCATGTGAGTATTAGCATGATAAAAGATTGTGCACTTCAATTATAATGTATGAAATTATATTAGACTTCAGGTTTCAAAGTTCAGCAATAAATCAATCAGCTGCGCAGTACAACAAAAATATTAAAAAACTTTGCAAAATTAAAATCTTCTAGCTATAGGTATTTTGCTCATTGACTGGCATTATCTACCATTAATTACAAAATGCCTTGATACAGTTCTAATTTTCAGTAAAAGTTCTCAGTGGCTGACCCTGACACATGAATAATTTTCTTATCATAGGAATGGTGGTATCAATGTTTTTGTCTTTTCACTTTTCGTCCTGGTGGGGCCCATCTTAGGCAGTCTGGGTCAACAGTCAAAACAGGTTTTCTGTATTGAGAGCTTTTGACATGCTCCTCAACAAGTTTTGGAGTAACACAGATGACATGCTGTCCTTTCCAGTATTTTACCATATTTAGAGACTGTAGTGTACTAATAATGTCCTCTTGTGTTATGCTTGTCATAGCACTGTAGGATAAAAACATTCAAACTTACTGTATGCTAAACATTCCTTCAGGAAAAGCCTTTTGCAGTTGATTGACACTAGAAGTTGAGTCACATTCATTCGTTTAACAGTGATCTAAAGTATACATGTAACTGTAATTTCAATCAATCTATATTTCAATAATCATCAAAGGTTGTACATTGCCGAAAAATGGGAAATGGATCTTTTATGTAATATGTCCTAAAGTTCTTTTATAAATTTTAATGCTTTTATTATTTGTCCGTGAAAATAGACATTGATATTATGAATAAGTTAGATAACAGGYTGGTACATTGTAACATAAGTACAAAAGCTACCAAAATATAACCAAAACTAAAAAAATGACCTTATTGAATATGCAAATAAATGAAGATAAATTTACTCTTGAATATGTGAAAATTGCAGACAGGATTCATCCTGTTTTTTCCGCTTTGTTTGCTTGTTTTTTTTTTTCCATTTGTACACAATAAATATTAATCAGAGTATGATTATACATGTATAGTGATTGGATGACAATTCATCCATTTCAATCTCCTAACTGCTTATACTCCTTTTTGATCACACTTAAAATATAAGGAAAAACTTAGTCCTTAGTTGCACTTACCTCAAATCTTTAATTGACACTGTTCCTCTAAAGTTCCTTAAAATATCAAGTAAAACCCACGACCAATAACTTCTATAACTTAACTTCCCCAAATCTGACAATGGTTTTTCAGGAGAACCAACMGTTTCCTCTATTTTTGACAGTTCATAGCTGAAGGCAATGAGAAATTTCCCATACCCTTTTCTCTGGTATGGAGGAAGGGTGAGAATACAAGCGACATTATTTCCATCTGGAGATTCTTTCTCCTAAAGACGCAAAAAAACAAAAATGATCATAATGCCTTTGAAGGAAAAAAATAACAAAAGGTGAAGTCACTTCATCTACTAGCTAATCTATTGCAGAATCAAAAACAATATTGCTGACGAGAGATATTTTGGCTAAACTGGCATGAACAGCGTTTCATGAACTGCAACAAAGTAAATTTCATGATGGCAATGATGGTCTTCAGAGCAATAAACAATCTAAATGATTGAAAGCTATAAATAATTATATRTAATATCAAGGAGGCAAGACTTGCTGTTACTCCGAGTTTCGTGCTACGCACTCATCAGACAGTATTTAATTCTGTCTGATGAGTGCGTACCACGAAACTTGGATTAACTCTTGCCTCTTTGATATTATATCTACACTATGTGTAATGAGCACTCTTTAATGATGGTATCAGCCACTTCCTCATATGGTTAATTGAATACTAAATAAAGAATCGAAAGTTGTTCTTTTCTTGGTTTGTTTTGCATTTGACTAATTATCGTATGTTCCCCCAATTCATTAGCATATTGTTTTATGATGAGATGTCAATACCTGGCGCACTTTTCCAGTTATATTTTGCCCATGCCATGAAGCATGAAACTATTAGTTTTGCAATATAATATTCTTTGACAATAACATTATGTTATGGCATTTGGATGTAATACATACAACAAAAATATTTTATCATTTCCCAAGGATGTGTTGAAAGTTGTAACAAATACACAAGCTATTAATAATCTAAGCAGGTAAAATGTTCATAAGACTCACCTTAGAGAAATACCCTACCATGTGAGCCCCTTCCTTGTCAACCTCAGTGAGAATATAAAACAAAAAAGGCTCCACATCAAAGTATAATGTCTTGTGGTCAAGGAAAAGCTTTGCAAGAAGACAAATGTTTTGACAGTAAAGCTGTAAAAGAAAGAGAAAAACAGAGTTCAAGATCCTGCAGCTATTATGTATATAATATTCATGTGCATAATTCCTTTGAAGTACATGTAGGCATAGGAAAATATGTATTCGTTTAGTACAGTATGTAACTCCAAATTCAAAAGAGCCACTCATTGTGAAACAAAATTAGACTATGAATGTGTGGTGTATATAGCATCTTCACCTTGTTTTCTTTACCATCAACTTCATAAACTGATATTGTTCCTTTACGATAGATCTCCTTTCCAGGTGGTTGGCGAATTGAACACTTGGTCTAACAACCAAAAACCATTTTTTAGTATCAGAAAAAGTACAGGTAAATGCTCAAAAAGACATTGATTAAAATATTTTATCAATTTCTTGTAAATTTKTATCTAATTAGACAACAAATTTTGATGTCAATGATCAATCAATGACTTACCACATGATCTTGGAATGTTTTTTCATATTTCATATATTTGATGCAGTATTCACACACCCACAGTTTGTTAACTTTGCCATATTCTTCGGGATAAGGTGAGAAGTACCACGTGTCTATTTCATATTTGCCAAATTGCGCTTTGTCTATATATTTTATCTTTGTTATCTGTGGATTTAATTGTTTGGTTTGTTTATATACAGTTGTCTAAAATACATGTGGAATTGTTTTTGTAGGAAGTGGGAAACTATCCATTTAGTACTACTAACAGGTCATCACTGCTGTTTGAAGCATAGCTTTACTCACATTTGAAATGTGTTAAGGGTATAGTCTGACACAAAATACAGTAACAGAAATATATTGATAAAATATTTGACAACTACACTCATACTACAAACTGATTTCACAGTTAATATTCATTGACTGGCTGCCATTTGTACTACCTAAAGTTATAGTATACTTGTAGTATACTTGYTGTAAAGTATACTGTACTTCTTACACAAAAAAATAGATAGTGTAATCTAGATAAACACTTCAATGCACCACTAAATGTGTTTGTTTTATTACTGTTTTTTCAATGACTATTGTCTACTTACAGCTTCATGCTCCTTTTCAAGTGCAGCGGTTGTAGGATCCATTTCTGCATAAGTCTGGCAAATAAAATATTGCATTGGAATGACATGACATGTAACAGTTACATTGACAAAATTTCAAAAAAGGTAAAATAATATGAATGAAAATAGAAAAGAATAGTTACTTTATTTAAAGTGGGTGAATATAAATACGTAAAAATACGTAAAATCTAATAAAGGTGTGGCCCTTAAAATGATGATGATGATTATAATACTGTAACAGTAAAATAAATAAATAGAAAAAAGTAAATAAATTACTACAACTTGACAATCTATGTGCATTTATTGTACTTGAGTTGCACTACACAAAAAATTAATTAATATGACATTTTTTTATTCAATACTACGCATTATTCTTTTTATGGTGGAAGAGGCAATTCACATTACCTTTTGTACGTGATTGATCTCGTCATGTTTCCGTTTCTGGTTTCGAGTAAGCTTTCTTTCTGGTCCATCACCATCRATTCTATCTTCTATAATGGCTTTTGAAGTTTCTTCTGTTTGCTGTAGGTCAACTCTTTCTGATGGTACCCACTCATCAAGACGTCTRTTGACTACATGTACAAGTAACATACTGTACTGTAACTACATGTTCATCTCACAGCACTGCTTTCTAATCACTTTGTACAAATAGTAGAGTGCTCGTACTAAATGCATGAAATATAAATACTACAAAATAGGTGATAAATTATACAGATTCCTTTGTTTCCTATTGTATAATCAACACTATTTAGTAGTAATTAGTACTATTTGTTTCACGGATTAAGTACGTTCACTCTAACTGCCTACAGCGTAACTAAATTGAGTCGCATAAACCTGTGAACTTTTAGTGTCTATTTGGCTGTTAAATATCTGAACTGTTAAATAGACTTCAAGGTTTCACTGTTATATGTAACTATAAAACCTACTGTAATACAATATTGTTAAATATAAATTCACGAATGAATAGACAAACARACAGATAAATCAAATTGGAGCTTACATCCATGATAATGTATATAATACTCTGTATTTCCATCATCATCTGGTCTTGATTGAATAATTTCCGCAGCATCTGTCAATCATAAATATACACTGTCACTCAAACTTTCATCATCACTGACTACAGTGCAGGGATCAAATTTCCAATGTTTTTTTCATATCAACAGATTTATTCTTAATATAAATYTTTTWTTCTGTAGACACAACAACCTTACATTGCACGTCAAACGAAAATAAACACATGCGGAAAAGACACCTACAGGTTTTGTTTATATCAAACATCAAACTGAAGAAATCCTAATTCTGTTTGTGTAACTCATATAATAATAAATATTTTGGCTGATATATATGTATAACTGGCGGTGTTAACTGCAAATGCAATTGTAAAAACAAGAATCGTGTMAACTTACGCCATGAGAGATCATGTCTTTGTGCCAAACATTGCTGGTTACTCGAGTTGCTAATCTCCGATATTCGACGAGTTTTTGAGCTTTTCTCTTCTCTTTTTGTYTTCGAGCTAATTTCTTTCTTTTCTTCGCTGTTTTCAGTGGGATTTTCTTTCTTTACTTCGCTTCCACCACTTTCCAGAGTCACCATCTTGAATTCTTCTTCGAATCACGTGGCTTTTATTACCACTGATGCATTGCKCCGMGAGAACAACACAGGARCCCCAAAATATTGTAAAARCGACGACTTTCCCTACTACTTTTATTTTGTAATAGGTACATGCAGATCTGTAAATTTTTGTTTTTTGGAAGTATCTAATGATCCCGATAATATACAGCTGTAGATAAGGCTCAAAAAGTTTGATGCATGAGTGCTTATTTTGGTACTTTTTAATACACATTTTGCAGGTAGCGGTTTAATGCGCMAACTCATTATCACACTAAYWTACTTGCCCCAAGGTTTCATTATCTTACCCTCGTTGTTATTGGTATAATTAATGGTAGAAAAATAATCACCGATAGCAGTATGGTACAGGAAATCTTCTTTTTACTGGAATTCATCTTTCTAATTGCAATGTATACTACATGGGCTTGTTGTTGTCCCGTTTTTGTATTGGCACAGAAATCATTCAGAAGAAAACAATCAAGGCAGTGACAAGAAATTCAATATATTGAATTGAATTTGARCATTTCGCAAATTACAGAAGAAATGGAAGCTACTCTTGGGACAGTTGCAGCRTGATTGATTCAAATTGAAACTTTATCTTACTCCGGACTGTATAGCGGCTAGTTAAAGAAGAAAAAGAGATCATTTCAGCCGGCGCTCCATTGAAAAGATTCAACTTTAATACTGCGAATGAGCGATGACGAGTTGTATCAGTGAAAGCATTCATTGAATGCAAAAACAAATCAAGATTTAAAGACGCATCGCGAGAAAACTATATATACAGTACCTGCAGAATCTACATAAATGTAGYGGTACCATAAATGTGTCTGGGCTATAGTCAAAACCATACAAAACGTCGTACGCTTAGAGATGCTGATCACTACATTGTCTTGGCAGATTGATATGAAATTTRAACCATTTTAAAATGTATTTTTTGAAAGACCAAAGAATTCTAAAGATTTGTAATCAACGAACATAACTAAAACATCTCTGTCATAACTGGCAGTCCGACGTTCACATTCCTTTGTATTACACAGCTTTTAATTAGTCACAGTTTTACAGCAGGTACCTGCTTGGTCTCAACAACATGGCGAACGACGTCAAAAGCGCGTGACGAATACAGTTGTGGCCYAACGTTAAACTGAATGAAAGTTTGTTTTCTTTAAGTTTCATCCTTCGCATCGTTGATTTACATGTAAATATTGGYTTCCTTTATCTTGCTGTTGTGGTTCGGCTGCAAGCAGGCTATATTACCTTATGYATCGATTTTCGTGTTAATATGGACTATCAAGTAGCCCGAGTGAGCGTTTCATAGTTCTTCTCTCAGTGACGTTTTAACAATAGGCTATTACAAGAGTCATTCCCATATAAAGTTTCAAACGAATTCCCCTTAGGTAAAAAATATTCCCCAAACCAGTTCAGACTCGGCCTGCATAAACACGGATCGGAAAACTGMAGGTCCTCGTTTTAACATGGAATAGAATTTTTCAGGTACTGATAACTGCATTCTGTATAATTTTTAATTTTAAACAAAATATCCTCCAAGATACAAGATGATAAAAATTAGCATACACTACATCAATAGTGAAGTGTATTATACACCATTTTCCATATTGGAATGCAATATATCACAGTTAATTCAACTMTGAATATATATATCTAGTGAGATACATTGTCAGTACTAGCATTGGCTAATCTAATACCTATATCATGGGTTAACTTTCTTCATTCTAATGAACATTGAATAAAGTTAATCTAGCACATCTTCGAGGGTATCTGTTTAAGGGCTCTGTCATCAATAATGCTGAGGATCGTATGCATTCCAAGAGTTCTAAAATTAAATAAAGTGTACACATTAGAAATTCCAATTTATTGAGAATGAAAAAAATACTGAATGAATAAATAATAACATGAATGATTAAAAGAATAAATGATGATGGATTGAAATAGTGATTGATTAAACGATTSAACAAGACACTCATAACTAAACGAGTTAATCAATGATAAGTCAAGACAACCATTCAAGAAACATGAAGTTTTTGAAGGCCATAATGAATGTTCTCTAGGGAAAAGGATTTAATGAAGGGAATGGTGCCTCATCACCAACTCATTTTAAGACAAGCACAAGAAAGAGCATACAAAAATTAGTTGAGCATGTTCAGATTTATAGTTACAAAGTTGAAAGCGTGAAATCTCAAAAATAACAAAGTGTATGAACCCTCAGAGCATCAACCCTAAAAACTTATTCTCCTATTTTGCAATTTTCTTTGCTACTATTCAATCCAATAACACCATCAAACTATTGAAAGTATGGTCTGTCATGTGATTCAGTTTTTGACAAGTTGACTATTTTCATACTTGCTYCCAGTTTTTTGTGGCATGGTTATTGTGTGACATGGCATTGGGTTATGTCAGATCATTAAGTCACRCATTCCCAGTAACGACAGAATAATATAGCTCCATAGAGATAAAAACACATCAAAATTGAGAGATTCATAAATTGATCATTTTGGTACACATGCTCTTTCATGACCTGCAAGTCTATCCCACATGGTTRACTTACCCCATATGAATCATATCCACCCTTGTCTGATGACAGTTTYTTCTCAATGTTTCCAGCCAACATTTGAGTTTTAAAATGAATACCTTTGGTTTTCTCAATGATTTGTTGATAGACTGAGGGGGCCTGGACACCCATCACTACATGTCCCTGAATAATGAATAAGCAACTGTTACATATGATGCCATTTTTAAAAGACTAAACTTTTTACATTGCTAGTTATGACAACAATGTTTAACCTCACCACACAGATAAACTATCTTATTTTAGCCTTGGACAGGTTTAGTATTAGGTTTTAGGAAAGGTCACAAGAAAGCTTGCTYGAGTTCGGCAGACACGATAGCAAAGTGTGTAAGGGAAATGCCACACAAGTCGCTTTGATCAGCAGGTCCGCACCAATTCTTGCTGTTTGCACTGAGCTAAACACCAATAAGAGCGCCTCGCATGGCTTTTCCCTTAAATCCTTTCCCATCTTGTTCGACAGGCTTTGTACAACATACATCATGAATGCAGAAACAAAACAAAAATTGATAGTCAACTCAAAAAATAATCTATCCTCTTAAATGTAAGGTCGACAATATATATATATTAACCTCATAACATCATAACACCAGAAAGAAGAAAAAAGAAATAAAAAAATCTGTAGCAAAACAAAGAGCAAAAGAAAAAAAAAAATGAAAATAAACAATGCATGTAAGACTAACATAGTTATCGAATTAATAGTCTCCTCACAGCTGAGTTTAGTTTTGACAGAGAGATCTTTGTGTGAACGAAACTAAACACTGCTGTGATGAGGAATTTTAAAAGACTASGAATTAAGAGGTACAAAGTATTTACTAGTTTTGAGTCTATCTTTGCATCTAATTTAGCATTCCTGATAAGGTTGACAATCCATCTTTCAGCTTCTTCAGGTGACATGTTCAGTTTATCAGCCAACATACTAGAAAACAACATCAATCATGGTTATAATTACTTTATGATAAAAACATCAATGACAAGTCAGGTAAAATAACTAAACATTTTACACTAGTAAACTGACATGAGAACCATGGATTTTTTGAGATACATAAAAACATTAACCCTTTTGCTTTTCAAAGTGCAAGAATGCTGTTATATATTCAAAAAACAAAATAAACATTTAAAAAATTACACATATCAAACTTTAAAAAGTTTTAATCTTTATTTTTTTATTTGTAAAAAGTAGTTTTTTGGGTGCTTTGAGACGTGAATTTTATCTTTTCTTTGGAAGCAAGTAGATGTACACTGTACATACCGTTATTAAAAAATCTTATATATAAAAACCTAAGTACAAAGAAAGTACAATAATTTATTGACTTACCTGATACTWATACACTGATGAATTCTACAGAATGTCTCAAAGATGAAAAGTCTTGCATTCTCAATAAAGTCATCCAGACAAGCGACAAGAAAGAAGTCATTTACTAAAACCTAATTAAAATAAAAAATAAATAAATAAATGAATACAATAAATTTGAGAGAAWCAATCCTTTACAAGAATTGTACTTACTGTCTCACACTCCCTAAGCTTAGTCTGTGCTCCATCAAAGTCRAAGTTCACATATAGACATTCTAAGAACTCTGTGATGGGATCTCTGTATGTGTATGATTCTTGYTGTATGACCTTAACCAGGTCCTTAAGCACTTGACGACGTCTTTTGCTGGTGATAACTGCTGTGGTTAARTATCTYAGAATATGTGGACACATAGTTTGAATTGCATTCAAATATCTGAAACAAGAGAGAAACAGTTTAATAAGACTTTCTGGAATATGTATTGTTGKTTGTCTTTATCACACAATGTCAAAGTATACACTTACTGTGGTTGGTAAAGAAATAAGTCAATAATAAGATCACGTCCTTTAGGATGATTGAAAAACACAAACAAACTCCAATGGATTAGCCAAGTTCTTTCTTGCAGTAGTTGTAGTGTTCCAGCAGATGTCTAGAATGTTGAGAAATTCATTTACATGTTGTACTATTATAAATAAAGTTTGAAAATTATACAAAACCAACTAATAGAGGATGACCACACAGAGATATGGATTTTATCTTTGAGCGATGAAATGATTTYTTACGAGTACGTGAAGTAAAGAAGTAAAAGATTTTCAACACAAGAAGTTAAAGAACTAACTAATACCATGAATGTGTTATTTTCACCAGTGAAAATAACCAATTTTTGAAAGTGAGTAATATAGTATGTATTTCATGGACAATTTTATGACAAAAAGTTATAATATAAAATCAAGAAGAACTTACATTTCCCTCAATCACTTCCTTTAGTCTGTTCAAATCATCCAAAGCCGTGTCCCAGTTTTGCATGAGGATTTCYGAGGCAAGCTTCCCCCAYAAAGCATTCAGAGAGTTTCTGTCTCCACCAGGTGACTGGAAGTAAAGACACAAGATTTGTATTTTACTCTGTGTTTGAGTTGTAAAACTTCATTATAGACAACTTCATTCTAGGGTCACATTCTAGAACTCATTAATAATTCATGAGCTATTAGTCCAATCAGAATCCAACTATTGGGTCAC